ATAATACTTCGACGCCTAATCAAAGCTCATGAACAGCAGATTAGAGAAAACCAGGCCGGTTTTCGACCTGGACGTGGTTGTATAGATCAGATATTCACACTACGTCAGGTTCTAGAACACAGACACACATTCAGACGACCCACAATTGTAGTATTTCTCGACCTTAAGGCGGCATTCGACTCTGTAGATCGTGAGGTTCTGTGGCAGTGTTTGTCACTGAAAGGAGTACCAAAGAAGTACATTAACCTTACACAGGCTCTCTACTCGAACACAACTGGTAGAGTGCGAGCTTATGGCGAACTGTCATCAGAATTGATTACCTCAAGTGGTGTTCGTCAGGGCTGTCCACTCTCCCCATTCTTGTTCAACTTTGTCGTCGACGTACTTTTAGAGATAACACTTTCCTCGTCTAAATTTCCAGGGGTTGAACTTCTACCGGGAGGTTCACTTGTTGACTTAGAATATGCTGATGACATAGTTTTATTTGGTGAAGACGCTGACAAAATGCAGAGTCTTCTGACCATTCTAAGCAACAATGCAAGCATGTTCGGCATGCGATTCTTCCTCTCGAAATGCAAAATTTTGCTTCAGGATTGGGTTGCATCGACACCCGAACTAATGATAGGGAGTGAAGTAGTTGAAGGTGTCGACCGCTTCACTTATCTTGGAAGTCTCATCAGCCCTTGTGGTCTGGTGTGTGACGAAGTCTCAGCACGGATACAGAAGGCTCGTCTAGCTTTTACCAACTTGCGTCATTTATGGCGTAGGCGAGATATCCGTCTATCAACCAAAGGACGTGTTTACTGCGCATCAGTTCGTCCCGTCCTACTTTATGGCAGTGAAACATGGCCAGTAAGAGTAGAGGATATTTCTAAATTACTAGTATTTGATCATAGGTGTCTTTGAAACATTGCTCGTATATCCTGGGACCATCGAGTAAGTAACACAGTTGTTAGGAAACGGGTACTAGGTAAGGATGGCAAATCGATTGATGAAGTAGTGAAACTTCATCAGTTGAGATGGCTGGGACACGGGTTACGTATGCCCAATCACCGACTACCTCGACGTGCGATGTTCAGTGGTATAGGAGTAGGTTGGAAGAAAGCTAGAGGCGGCCAAACCAAAACATGGCACAAGTCCATGAAGTCACTGACAAGTGGACTGAGTCATGTTGGTAGGTGTAAACTACGTGGTTGGGGACCACGAGATGATAGCAACCGATGGTTAGAGACCCTGAATGACATGGCTCAAAATCGTTTGCAATGGCGTAAGTGCAAACACTCTTTGTGTTCTCCCAAATTCTAATCTGAATTCTTCATGTCCCTTTCTTTTTTCTCTTATCAAATTTATTTCACTGGATTATACTCCTTGAATAATATCTTCAAACCCCAATTTTTCTAATTACAGCTTGTAATTTTACTACATCTAGCACTACGGGATTTGAATCGACAATTGCATCTCTGTGCTAATGTGGTGTGCGTAATCGAATTGATGTACGTACGTACGACGTTCTGCGTTGTTACTGACTGACTAAAGAGATTATAAACGTACCGCTCAGGGTTCATAGGAAATTTTCGTTCAGGTTAATGAGGTTCCAGTGACTGAATTAGTGTTTTCCCCACTTTTACCGATCTACCTTTTTGCCATCATGTTATTATAATCCATAAATTGTGATTTTATTCACAGTGGTAGGGTATCGACCATAGATTCTCTTTGTGAAATATTTCTTTCCAGATTGTTTATGTGTATTTTTAGTGAATCTGTTTGGTTGAGTACATGCCGTTTAATGGTTCTAGCATTCGGATAAAGAACAACTACTAGAACTATTCAATCACAAACATCCTGCAATTAAATTTACATGTGAAGAGGAAATAGATAACAAACTACATTTCCTTGACGTTTTGTTAAATAGAAAAGAAAATGGTTCTATCAGCAGAGGTGTGTATAGAAAAAGTTCTTCTTCAAGCCAATACACAAATCTTTTAAGCTTTGTGCCTCTTCATTATAAGCGAAACTTAATCAAATGTCTGGCAAATAGAGCTGTTAAGATATGCTCAGTTGACACAATTGATAGGGAACTAGAGCACATTCATAATATGTTGATTGAATTGGGATATCCACAGGGTTTCCTGAAGAAACACTTGCGTGTAATAAGCAAGAAAATAGTGACACTAACAGCTAATAAAAAACCTCTTTTCTTGAAGCTGCAATTCAATGGTGATGTATTACGTGATAGACTGACTAGAGCAGTAAGGAGAACGTCTTATGCTGCCAACCTCTGTCTATCGTATTCGACCCGATCTATGGTGATTCTCCAACCGAAGGATAAGTTACCTGGTTATGCCACTTCTATGTGTATCTACGAATTCAGCTGCTCCTGTGGAGAAAGCTATATTGGACGCACTACCACGCAACTGAACCAAAGAGTTAGTGAACACCTTCCTTCGTGGTTGGGAAAAGGTAACGTCAAGACAATACGCAGCTCGGTTCTATCATACTTGATCGATAGCGGTCATGTAGTGGACAGAAACAAGTCATTAAAAATTATTTATCGTATTCCCACTAGTTTCCCTTATGGTGTTCGATCTCGTCTCTTACACATAGCAGAAGCTATAAGAATCCGAGCCAACAAGCCAAGTCTTTGTGTTCAGAAGAAATTTGTAACACCCTTATCTCTCCCTTGGCCTTAATAAATGGATTTATTTATTATTTTTTCAAACTTTCTCTTCGTTTATTATTTTTCTTCACCCCCCCCTACCACTTTATTTTCTCTCAACTATACGTCTCACGGTCCAATTATCTGAACACTCCTTATTACGTCATCTTGTAATTTCATAAATTTTATCTCACTGTCTATATTTTTCTAATCATTGACCTATTTCCGATTATGTAGCATTGATTTGAACCTTTATTATTCTTATCAAAAACTAATGCACCTGTTATCACACTACCGATTTATACTTTTCACTTTCCACTTGTAGTTTAATCCCTTCACCAATAGTTGTTTTTTCTGGTTACCATACCAACCAATGTCTCTTCTTCTGAATTATATACTGGGACTTTAATGTAAGCATTTCCTAATAGGTATAACTAAAAAACTTCTGGTGATTTGATATACTGAGTTATGACAGTGCTGTTGTAAAGAATTCCTCCATATCAAGTATCACAAATGCACCTAATATAAAATTGAATAAACAAATGTATGATCAATTCGAACACTTGATATTTTGTAGGCTGTTATTTCCATGTGCCAAGTAATTTACTGATATGATTTACGGTTGAGCATTGAGTCTCTTTTTTCAGGCACTTCGATACGTCATCTCATTGAAATATCTCAAAATGCAGTGTAATCACAAGTGATAGCAGACTTACAATAAAAGTTGGTTTTATTTACTACTGACATCACAAAAATGCTTCATTTGGTTCATTAAGCAGTGTAGAAAGTCATTTTTGTTTTATACTTAGCATACGAAGTAAATAAATTGTAAGTTACTTACTATTTTATAGGTGGACGAACGCCGAAAAAAACGTGAGATTCCAGACTACCTTTGTGGTCGTATTAGCTTTGATCTAATGCGAGATCCTGTAATCACACCTTGTGGAATTACCTATGATCGGCCGTCAATAATATCTCACCTGCGCCAAGTTGGACACTTTGATCCTGTTTCACGTCAACCATTGATAGAAGATCAGCTTATACCAAATTTGTCTATGAGAGAGGTTGTACAAGCTTTTCTAAACGAAAATCCCTGGGCTGAAACATTATAAGCACTACAACTGCTATTCGTATACATTTCAAGAGTATCTGTATTACCTCGCATCATTGCTCCTAAGTCACTCAATTTTACATTTCTCTTCATCTTTTGAACTACAATGTATTTTTTGCTTTTTCGTTGCGATATTTAAAGTAAATTATTAACTATATATTCTTAATTTTAGATTTCTTATCTTGAAAAATATAAACATAAATCATTCCTGTTGTTCATCAATTATTCAAAATTGAAATAAATAATTAGTTACCTATTTTTTAAATTTTTTCTTTGAATTATCATGTCGTACGATCTAACTCCCATTTATGCTTTCTATAGTCTAGTCCCAAAGTTTAATACCTATTTTGTGCATTACTGCACGTTTGTTCGAACTATGTATGGCCGACGTCGAGCCGCAGCTTTGCCTCATGTCTCCAGACGCCAGGGTGATGTTGTAACAACAGATGCTGTTCAGCATGTTGACTGTCCAGAAGCCTCTATTGATACATTGCATTATCGTCTACTGAGTCGATCGAGGCCTGTGGGAGCGTCGTTCATTTCTTCATCATCATCCAGTAATTCGTCACGGTCACCACCTCCACCAACAAGGCGAACACGTCAGGTTCGTAGAATAGATCGAACTCATCATCTGTCCCAGGTTAGTTTCCATCTATTTTCTACATGAACTTAGTAGTTCTGAATACTAAGATATAAGCAAGATACTGTAGATTTGTTCTTAATTCTCTGCTTCACAAGCGTTACCTGAGTCGATAATTAATTTAAACAAGTTTAGCCAATTATATACTGTCCTAACGCTTGATGAAATGTCTTTTTAGTTTAATTATGTTGTAATATTATTCTCAGTGTTTATTTATTAGTAGCGTGTTACATAAATATTTTTAGATATTGTTTGTTAATTATTTAGATAATTATAAAAAGTCTGCAAAACTGATCGAACAGTGTCTTCAGTTGCAAATTATCCATACGTGTAACAAATAGTATTTATTTTCAGTGTATTGAGTACTGTTACTTTACAATATAAATTAAGTCATTTATCAGTGACGCTAATTTTAGAAAATTTTATTTATAAGTACGGGTTCAATGTATACCCACATTAAACTAGTTATTCAGGTAGTGCCATTGTCATTCACACAATATCATTCAGCTTGGAGCTTAGCACAAATACCACGGTACTAATAAATTTCTTCATATCTAAACTTTATTTAGTTTGTCTAGTTAATATTTCGCAATGAATAAAGGATTTCCCTGTCAGGGAAGTCTTACTCTCTGCCTTCTTGTGGCGTGAGTGTTGTTTACGAAATTGAGAGGACGAAAAGCGGATGTCCGGCGCTTTAACCGGGTTGGTGGACATGGAGAGTCCACTTAGGGGAGTTGGAAAACCATGATTCCAAACCAACGGTGCACATGGGCTCCAGTATCTTGAAGGAACAAATGACGTATGAATTGATCGTTAGTCACCGACAACCATGGGACTGCATTTCCTGGCGTTGCTCCACTGCCTTTTGGATCAGACCTTTAGGTCGAAGGCTCCGGGTTTGACTCCCTAAGAAGATCACCTGTTTCGGTTTGGGCACCCGGGCAGTATCACATATCAAATTAGATCTGTGTGGCGCATATGTATTTGATGCCTCCTTGTACCAATATCTACGTGTTAAGATAAATAAAAAAAGAACGAGTAAAGGATTTTTCTAGTATATAAAGTTATTATTTCCATCGATATTTATATTATCTTGCCTAGTATTCAGTGTGAAAATCACTAAAGTCCTTATTTAAACTACAAATGTTATTGGTTAAGTTAGATTAATCAAAAATGAAATTCACTGTGACCAAACCACATGTTAAGTTTCCAACCAGAGTAACCCTAACACAGCAAATGAAGAACAAGGTAATATCAGTGACTTCGTGAAGGCTCACGTGATTGCTTTAAAGCTGGTTACGTAAATCACACTTAAAGAGCTTACATTATCAATGACTTATTCTTGTATGGTTTGAAAACTAAGAAATCTAAAACTCTACTCCTAAACATTTTATTTGTAGTAAATATCGCATTGTGTTAGATCATTTGCTTTCTGAGTTATTTTATTTGTGGATTTATCTTCTATTCAAATCTAATTTGATTAGGTCATTTACTTTTTTTAAACATTTTTCTCAGGTATCACTGGAGTGGATACTTTCGCTTGTTACACAATGTCCTAGTTTGTAGTAGATTGGACTGTTACTAAATTCTGATTATTGCTCTCTGTAATAATTATCTCTTAACTTTTCATGATCATCCTTGTTGCTTTTATACATATCACTACTGTATTTTCCAACGTCTTCTTGGAAAAACACAAGGTTTTCTATTCTGAATGTCAATCTTTGGGTAAAGCTGATATTGAGATTAAAGAAAAATGTATAACTCCAATTCTGGTTTTTATATACTTTGTTATTTTTTCCTCTTCTCAAGAACAAGCTGATCTGATTATATAGTTTAGAAATCTCAGTTACTTTTTACCTACTCTACCGTTGCCTCACCTATATATTTGTTGTATTCTACGTGATTTTCAGCGTTCTACTGCTAATCCAAGATCACGTAGTCGTGGTTTATCAGATAACCTAGAACCGAGCAATCCCAATGTTCCAGTTTCTCTTCCTCGTCGAAGTCGTCGACGCACTTTCGTCCGTTCTCCATTTCTTCAGCTTTTGTTCTCCTCTCATGGAAGTCCTTCATATCAGAATGAGTCGACCACTGAAAGTGTTAGAATAAACCTGGAGAGTTTTAACGATGATAGTATCCAATTAACTCGCACTGAAGACCTTGATTCCAGTAACAGACCTGGACGTTTACGTACCACCAGGTCTGGAAGAAGAGCCACACGTCGCCTGTCAGCAACAAACACGCGTTCCGCACCTTCTACGAACATTCCATCTACCAACCATCCACCACGTACAAACAATAGTAGGCGCTCTCAAAGTCTTATTGATTGCCCAGACGTTCGGGCGGCACTGGCAGCAGCTAGATCCACTGGTCTTGAAAGTGACGACGATTGTGTAATCTGTTTATGTGAGAAATCAAATCGTTGTGTTGTTTTACCTTGTATGCATACGTTTTGTTATGATTGTATTTATCGTTGGCTCTGTATCAATCCTTCTTGTCCATTGTGTAAACGTTTGGCTCAAAAAATTATTCATTCTGTTCTGTCTGATACAGAATTCACTGAAATATTAGTATCTGATTTACCAAATAATAACCGACGTAATCGAGTGAATAATTTATCCACTACATTTCGATTAGATGATGAATACTTAAATGCATCACCAGATGACACCACTATTCCGCGATCACACCATCATTATCACTATCATCATCATTTAGGTACACATCAGGTGCGTTTACTCAATTATCTCGATGGAGTGACTCGTTCACCATCAGATAGTACTTCGTTATACATACCTCCCATTCTTTTTCCATCTGATACCTCAATATCTCAATCAAGAGCGGTTGGCATTCTTGATACTTCTTCACATATGTCATACAGATGGAATCCAGAACTAGGGTAAGTTTTGTATATTCCCTTCATTTGTAAAAGGCATTTTATGTGTATCATAAATAATATATCATCTTTTTAAACTGACATCTTGAAGAATAAATTCAATCATTTGAATATACATAAAACAATCTTTTCGGCTTTCATTATGAGTATTCAGTTTTTGTGCAAAATACACCTTGAGCCCCTCTAGAGTTACTGCACATCCCATGCCTGGGATAAGCGAGAGGTTCAGGTGTACGACTAACAAACTCACTTTATAAAAACAATCTCACCAAAAAGACTAACCAGAAAATAACATTTAAATTTTGTCCTGGGAGTAAGACAGTCTTCAGATGAAAAAAATAAGACATGTCATGGTAAAAGCCACCTCTCCGAAAGTTTCGAGACCGGTGTCCTTCCTGACGTTGTCAAAAGAAGCACAAAGATCGCTTATTAGACAGCAAACTTATAACTTCATGATAATCAAAAATTCTTTAAATGAAAAAAACGAAAAGATCCCAATGAATGTCATCCAGTACTATGCATCCACTACTGATCTCAGTGGTGATGATAAACACCAAATTTTTGAGAGGCTGTAGTCCATCCTATACAAATGCCCAGAAAAACACTTGACTATCCTGATAGAGTAAAGAAATATCAAAGCCGAAATGGAGAACGCCGAGTGTAAATGCATTGTGAGATGATATGAACTGGAAGAAAGGAACAATAATCAGGAGAGATTGACAAATCTATATGCTTTCAACAATATAAATATAGGTGGTAGTATTTTCCCTCACAAATCTACATTGGTTTCACCGGACCACACTATGGAGAACCAGATCAATCACATAAGCATAAATAAACATTTAGGCGGAACAACAGTATATAATCAGGAGACTAGTAGTAAAATATGGTTCACAAGAACAACTAGTCAGCGATAAAAAAGGAGAACCAATCACTAAAGATCAAAAGGAGAAGAACAAGTGGGTAAAACACTTCGAAGAACTCTTGAATAGACTGACTAGGGTTACATTATTACAATTGGAGGGTATCTGGAACTCAAAACAACTATCAGTCAAAATCAAAGTCGGAATTTTCAGCACAAACGTCAAAACATTTCCAGATATTGGAGCTGAAACTTGTAGGACTACTACAACTATCATTATCAAAGAATTACAGTTATTTATAAACAGCTATCTGCGTAAGATACTTTAAATCCATTGACCAGACGCCACCAGCTATAACCTACTGTGGCAGAAAACGGACCAGATGCCAGCTGAAGAGGAAATTAGGGAAAGACTTTGGATGTGGATAAGACAAATTTTACACAAACCATCAAGCTGTAACAAAAAGCAAATCCTAACCCGAAATACTGAAGGCTGAAAGGAAAGAGGGTGACAAAAGAACACATAGTCCCGGGGATCGGAAGCAGGCACTATGAATTTAAGTACCACTTGGTAACAACTAGAAAGGTGAGCCCAGGATAAAGTTGCTTGGAGATGACTGGCCGATGTGTTGTGTACTATGAGATAGACGGCTTAGGAAAAAGTGGAATTCTCTATTAAGTCAATAAGATAGATGGACTCAGTCCTTTGTTGATTATTTGCTTAGATAGATATAATGACTAACCATTTAATCGTCACCTCCCGTAACCGTTTGCCAAACTCAATACTAAACCTGAAGTAAGTGTCTGCACCACCATTGTAACCAATTCGAAGCCATGTCACTCGACACCTCCAACCATTGGTTACGGTGATTGTGCTAACCTCAAACTACCCACCTACCAACACGACTCAGCCCAACAGTGAATGACTTCATAAACTTGTACCACATTTTGGATTGGTTACCCTTAGCTTTCCTTCAAATTACTCCTACACCAGGAAACAACGCGCGTCGAGGTAGAAGGTGGTTGGGCATACGTAATACATGTCCCAATCACATCGATTGGTGAAGATTCACTACCTCATCAACCAGTTTGTCATTTCTATCTAGTACGCTACGTCTAACTCGAGTATTGCTCGCTCTATTCTCCCAATATATGCGACCAATACTTCGAGGGCGTTTATGATCAAATACTATTAGTAAGTTACATATAGGTATTAAAGCGCATAAATAATAAAGGATATGAGTAGTCTGCAATTATTCGGTCGCTCTCTGTAGGACCACCAGATTGCCAAGTAAATTTTGTGAGTTGGTTAATACTGTTGTGAAATCTTATCAACACATGTACGTGAGCTGCATCACACCCTGATAGGTTATGTTGGTTAGATAGTCACCCCTGTCTTTTTATATTCTTGTAGATCAGCAGAAAATCGTCGGTCACTTCTAACCATTTTGGTTGATAATGCTCTTCGATCTAGCACTTCCTCGCTTTTGGATATTTTACTACTTCGACAGCTAGTATACATTTTCTGTCTTGATTCCATTCCTGTCCTACAAGAGTAAGTGCCTTCAAATATTCTTTTCTCGGAAGAATATATAACTTTTATTTATTGCTGTCCATATATGTGGCGGTTGTATTTGATATCCTGGTCCTTTTATAATTACCTGCTACCTTGGTTTAGTAGCTCATGTTGTTTGTTGTACGATGATGGTTAAGATTTAATGACTAGATAGCTTTTTTACTTTGCATGATACCAAATTGAGTTTGTTTCTGTCATAACTAGTATGGTAATAACAAAAATTTCCGGATAAACAGTAATCCTAGTGATACATTTTACTCATGATATAGAAAAATATTTAAAGTATCAACCATAAAAACAGCATTCCATATTGCTCTGCACCATTCATCTGCCAGTAATATTTTTTTGAGGAGTTAACTACGAACACGTATTTATGAAAATTTTGAATTCCATGAATTTTCATTTCTTCTTCCATATGGTTTAATAAATAAAAGTGTCTGAAATATAATATTAGTAAAAAAGTATCAGTCGTCCCCGGAACTAATGTCCCAGACGTTCATACTTCATAGTTTTCATAAATTAGCTATTGAGAATTTATTTTGAGTAATTAACTAAAATGGTTTTTTGATGTTTTCGGCTATGTTTTGAAATACTAGCAATTATTGTGACGTAGAACGTTTTGTAAATTTGAAAGATAGACTACTACTACTTCGTACTCTGTTCCTTCATTTATCTTAGCTATAATTCAAAGTGTTTGAGGATTATTTGGTGACTTGTTTCTTGTCTATTTCAAAAAGTTCGCCTCCTTACATTTGTGAATTCTGTTTTAATAATAACTAAATGTATTGTCTTAGTTTATCTGCTATATAAAAGAACAGTTGGTGGTTGACAAACAAAAAACTAAGATTCAAACGTTTAGAATTATTTTGCATGAATTATACAAATTATTTCAAATTCAAGTGCATATGCTACATAATGGAATCATTCTATTTAATTCAAGGAGAATTAGACTATTTCTCGTGTCCCTTGTTGGATGCTTTTTGTCATGTTTGTTTTATGTAAAATAAATTGAGTAAGCACTTTTCCTGTTTAGAAACAAGGTTATCTTTTTATTCACGGCTATAATCTTTCTATTGAATCACAAATACTTGAGCTGAATTTAGTATACTGAAAAAAGACTTTTTACAAATAGTGTTGACGTTTCCATCTTTGGTTAGAAATTTATGTTCTTACTTGTTTCTATGACTTAAAGCTAAATTTACTCATTCTCAAGTGAAATTAAACAAACGCTTTTCAGTGTTTTACACTAGTTGTAGTGCTGTAATAAATGTATTGGAAAATCCCATTTGCTTACTATGACTTATTAACAATTTTAGATCGATTGTTATCAGAATCGGTTCAAAGCAGCGAATGGAATTGAGTTTATGTAAATAAAAATTGTGTCAAATTTCATCTCGGTTACTACTGTCATATATTGTTTTAGTTGTCTAGTAATAAGTTACTAATGTTTTCTAGTCAATTTACTTAAAATTTAATCTTGAATTTCTATATTATACATTTTTGTAGTAGTTAGTTTCACCAATAAACATTGATTGTTTTCTGTACTTATACAGGTCTGATCTCACACGAAATATCAGTCCAGAATTTCTAGCAGCAAACGAAACTCATAGACACAGGCTCGCATCATTTGTCCGTCGTGAATTACGTGTTATCGCCCCTTGGCTTGCTTATGACATTTCTTATAGTTCGCAGGGAAGTCGCGAAAATTCGGAGGATATCGGGTATTATAATGCCGCTGTAACATCTCCTCTTATATCTGGTCCTCCGGGCTTGGAGGTAGAAACAAGGGAACTCGACAATTTAACCAATATAGTCTTGCAACACATATGTACAGTCTCAATAACAAACGAACAGTCACTTGTTGATCTTTTGGTAAGTCAACCAGCTCTTCACCCATCACTAGTACCCCATGCGTACCTTCATCATCTAGCCTCGGAGATTTTGCAGTTTGCTCAGTTCACCGGAAGCATGGAAGAATACGACTCCTCGGTCTGTCTATATCGGCGCAGAGTTGCTTTGGGTGGAATGATATCGTCATCAACCGAAAGACACAGGGATAGACAGTTCCAAGGACTTTTTCCTGAGCCTCGTTTGGCTGTTTATATTGCTTCCGCCTGTTGGCCTCGACTCCGTCCTGGCTTCGCTCAACCTGAAGGACTTATCATCCATCCTCTAATCAATTGGCTACTCCAAAGACTGTTCGTTCATGCTGTCTCTGGCGCTTCTCATCCTGATCCCTTACCTGGTACAGGAGGTCCTCCACCTAGCCTACCTAGTCCATTAGTTTTTCATGGTCCTTCACTAACTTGTCATCCTAATTGTCTTCGTTTAGGAAGTTCTTGTCATGCTCTTCTTGAAGCCATCATATCTTTCTCCAGATTAAGAGGTCAAACGTCAGGGCGGACTATTAATTTGAGTCATGATGGGTCAGTAAGTAGCTCAGAAATTTTCCCAAACCGTCTTTTATATCAACGTGTTTTAAGTGAACTGATAGATCAAGCACGGTTCAGTGAAGCTCTTAGTGGTCAATTCAGTCAATATAATGATCGTACCCGAATGACGTGCCTTACACCACAAAATTCAGAAGAAATTTCTGTTAGTTCTGTTCCAAATCAACGAACTAGTAGTAGAATATCTATCCGAAATGTTATTAGCGTCAGAGAGTCTGCTAGTTACTTACAACCAGCTATCCAGTCGCACCCACTTGCCCTAAGACGTCTGGATGGTCTTCTACTTCTTTTCACTGCACGCGTTCCTGGTTTAAGAAATGATCCAGAACACCTGATCAGTGAACTATTACATATGCCACTTATGCCTATGACTCTAACTCCTTTAGCCGTTATTGATCTCACCAGCCCAAGGTCAGTAGTTAATAGATCACAAACATTTTCCATGCAATCAGAAGGCCGAGGACAGTCGTTAGAAAACTTGGACACGATAAGAGCACCATATGCATCAAGGTTCTCAGGAATTGATTGGACATTTCTAAGACAGCCTCCACACTCTTTGTGTCCTCAAACTGATCGTTCTGTTAATTCAGCTACTACTACTAATGGATTTACTAACGATGCTAATTCTGGTGACTGGAGCTCGGCTGCATCGAATCAGCAAACAACGTCTAATGACATTTGTCCTTTTAGAGGTAGTCGAATATTCCCCTTGATATCTTCAGTGGGATCAATTACATCAGCTGATGAGTCTACACCAGTGCACAATTCACCTGGTGGTTGGCGTGACACGGCTCCATATGTTGTCATATCATCGGACTCCTCAGATGAAGAAACAATAGGTCATAATGAACCGTGTGTAGCTCCCGCTCAATTCAATGTATTAACCTCTGACGAATCGGAACCAGGTCATGAATCTTCCCCAGATAGTCGAACAAACAGATGTGAATCTACTGCATCTCTTGGTTCGTTATTTAAGACGTTTTCAAATATGCCTTTACAAAGTGATTTTTCAACTGTAAACGAATCTGTTCAACACTCAATCCAAGAAACAGACAAGAATAAAGCTTTTCATTTAAACACTACACAAATTGACAACGTGCATAATGTCAATACTGAATTGTCTCTTAGTTCATCAGTGTTGTCTTCCACCAACACAAATTCCAACTGGAGTGATAGTTTCACTGAACGGCATTCAACCATATCCCGTCGTGAAGAGCCTATGGAAATAGACGAACGACCTGATGAGATTTCGTATTCGACAATCCCATCATCTAGTGCTTGTGGTTCATGTTTGACTGATTTACCTAAAAAGTCCACAAATCTTGCATGTGAAAATAAGTTTACTGTAGAATCCGATTGTTCAAAAAACACTGGAGCTGATACTGCGGGAAACAGATTTAATATTTTTTCCCCTAGGAATTCTCTGAAATACTATTACCACTCTCAAACAAAGCATGAATCACACTATCGTCATCGCAGGAGAAAGTTAAATATCAGTCATTTAGAAAACACAGATAGTGATTGCGAACTTATTAGAGAATCGATCAAAATAGATAGTGATTCGTCGTGTTCAACTTCTAGATCAGTTTTCTCATCAAGGTCGTCATCCTCTTCAAGTGAATGGCAGAAAACTTCAAAATTCAGTTCAGTAGCAATGCACTTGTTTAATTCTTCACATCAACGCAAAACTACCCATCATAAAAACTATCACTATCACCGTAGTCATTGCGACCGTTACCATCGTAAGTGTCGTCACAGGCATTCGTGCTGCTGTTATTGTCACTCAAGACGTCATAATAAGATATTCATTCGTAAATATCATCCGAGTCCTGAGAAACTAGTCAACTTAAATAACCCATCGTCCCCGGTCATTATTTCGGACGGCGATGATGCTGATGAATCTCATAAAACTACTCCTGAAAAAACAAATAATTCTACTCATCCCAGTCAGCATCCAGATTTGCAGACTGAGGAAACTACGCAAGTTGATGTTTTAAATGATCGTCCTGCCAATGAAGAAAATTCACTTTCACTTCCAACCACTCCAAACCATAACAGTATATCTTTCCCTCCACAAAGCGACTCTTTTTCTCCTGATCGATCTGACACTGCTCCATGTAGCTCAAAAACAAATATTTCATCTGTTAACGATTTGAATCATTCAACAAACTTCCCTATTTATGAACCTCCTACAGCCACAGAGTTTTATCGCTTACTCGCTAAATTTGATGATCAAGGTGATGACGGCAAGAATCTTGACCCAAGTGTATGTGAATCAACTTCGACAGCATTATTATTGTCTAATAAATGGAGTCAAACAGATATAGTGAAGCTATAACTTTCCAATATTTCTGGACCGCTAATTCATATAAAAGTGCAGACATGGATAGTGTGTTGTAAGAATTAACGAAAGTGTTGGATGAGTAACTTGTTCAAAACTGAACTTGTAGTTTACGAGTTCCATAAAGGAAAACGTTTTAATGTATAGTATTTATTATTTGCCTCCACTGATTTCTCTGTATTTTCACACAATAACTAAACAAACAGTACTCCGCTGTTTCTCTTTCCCAATAACGTTTTGAGAAAAACGAACGCGATTTTCTGTATCGACTCAAGGTTTTCATTCTGTTAATTGTTTTAAAACATCTAATACCCACTTCCGTGATAATTATCATGTTTGCAAACCTAATTTAAATTCATATATGTAAGATATGTCGATTATCTTAATGATTTATCTTATTTATGAATTGCTCCAAATTGATCTAGCATAGGTAATCAGATTTATTGGGTTTCTGTTGTCTAGCAACAGACTGATATAATGAGCAAAGCTTCTTACGCAGCACTCATATTCTTCCTCTGCGTAGGTAGATTGATAAAACGTGAATAACTTGCAGTGACAGTCAAGAAAAATAAGATGTTTTGTAGTATATGAAAAGAACGCTGACCACCAAATGTTATGATAAGAGAAACTGATCCCTTTAGAGAATGAGTTCTACAGCCTTACTGATATTAAAAATGATATCCCAGCAAAAAATGTCAGTTTTAATCGGTTAGCTTAGCTTCGTTGCCGTATTACAGCCTATATGATACTTGTTCTCTTTGAGACGATAAAAAAGCCAAAACTTTAGAAGAATATCATTTTATTTCGTTTCGTTCTCGCCAACTGCTTACAACCTGTTGGATTTAAAAATCATAGTTATATGGAATTTGCTATGATCGCACATGAATAGAGTATAACGAAGCTTTGAATAATTTTAATACACTAAATATTGTTAACATATAACCTATGTGAAAGAACAGTCTACAACGTAGAACTGATACTTCTCTGCTCAAACCCTTGTTTTTCTCTGATATACGTCAAAGGTAGAGCCTCATAAAAACAATTCAAACGTATATGTACCAATCATATTTATATAATCGATATTGCCATGGAAGTATTTTTAATTATTCGATGAGTTAGTCAGTCGACTGCCATGGAAACATTTAATCGATAATAGTTTAGTTAATTAACAATTATACGGCAAAATATACTTATAGTATTGGTTCACAAACAGATCCCAAAGGCTGCCCCTCATTATTCTTGTCGGGGTATAACAGGCTCTAACTAATAGTTACAATACTCAAGCGGACTCAACCAGCTTAACCCAACATCAGAAAATATCGCTCTTCGAGATGGACAGTAGATGAGGATACGTAGCATCTCCTAATCATCTCACCAGATGAGGATTTACTACCCCATCAATAAACTTCTCACTATTATCTAGTACCCCATTCGTAACCTACGGATCGCATACTCACTGACCTCACAATACGTGAGTGATACTTCGAAGACATATATGGTTGAATACCAGCAACCTACGAATAGTCCCTGCTCTTAAAGGCTATGTTTCATAACCATCAAGTAGAACGGAGCGAACTGCCGTGTAGTATACTCGCACCTTAGTTGGCAGACGAATATCTCGCCTATGCAATAAGTGACGAAATTTCAAAAGGGCCGACCGAGCTTTTAGAATCCATAAAGAGATTTCATTAGACTCCAGACCATCAAGACTGATGAAACTCCTAAAATGAGTGAGGCGGTTGATATATTCAACTGACGCACTCCCTATCATTAATTCGGGAGTAGACGCAGGCCGGTCCTGAGGAAGCTGACAACACTACCGAGCACCACTTGAAGTAGCCGATCCTAATGACAGTTCGCCATAAGCTCTGACTCGACCAGCATTGTCCGAATAGAGAGCCTGTACAAGGTTTACGTACTTCGGTATGCCTTTCGATGACAGACACTCCCACAGAACCTCATGACAAACCGGACATCGCTCCAAGGTCAAGAATCATATTTATTGTCGGACGTCAAAATGTTCATTCCTCATAACTTCCCGAGCGGTAAATATTTAGTCTGTACATCCACCTCCATATCTGAAAGCGGCGTGGTTTCCCCAGGTTTGTTCTTCACAATCTCTAGTTAGACTTCAAAGTATCACCGAGTTTAATAATTCAGACACTATATTACTGAAAGTGACTCTTCTGTGGTTGTTACAATAACTTTTGTCCTCTATAATAGATAAGCATGATCGTGACTAGTCGCACAAAACTACGTTTGCTTTTCGGATTCTACCTCAATCATCACTTTGTTTAAATTAGCAAACGATCCTTAAAATTATCATTAGTTATGCCATTAGGATTTTCTGATCTTTAAATTGCCTGTAACCACACTAAGAGTTAAAAGATCTACTTTAACATCTTGCTACGACTTCTCTACTTTCAGTAAGTCGGAAAAAAATACACGCTCACATAAGAACATGATCGTAGTCTAAACACGTGCTCCAAAATGAGAAGCACTGTTCTACCGACCTTCTTTGACTCCACATTGAGTCTCGTGAGGTTAACCATGTCAGACAATACTTAAAGTTAGTACCTGCTAGAAAAAGACGATTATCTGGTGGTTGCAGAAGTTACTATCATATGTTCACTGAGCCACGCTGCCGTGCCGTTCGATCTGGTTCCGCTGTTAATGCATTTAACCACTTAGATTCTTGAAAGATTAAGAAGCTCCCTATAAAGTTAATCGTTCACTTCAACCGAACCGAATAGGCAGAGACAACACAGCGTCAGTTCGAGTCATTACTGTTTAGTTTTATTCAGATAGCTATTAAGTGACTATTAGAATCCAGTCTGGGATGGCCTGTTAAGCTTATATAAGATCGTACCAGTTTTTATATTGGCAAGGTAAAGGTAACCGTACTTGGATTCGAGTCCTAGCTAATGAAGCCAGTTCTCCTACATTAAACGCTACAACATGAAGTTTAGGGCGCGGTGATAAAGATATGAGTAGAGTTTGTAGTATGGAGAGAATAAAAACGTAAAGGAGGGACATGATTGTGAACAAGATAATCGTGGAAGACGTTAGATATATGAAGACAAATGTAACTTCCCATCTGCCCAAGTCAAAAGCGTGACGGAGAGACCGCCAAGTCAAAGTGGACACTGTTTGCGGCAGATCACATACAGAATTTCTGTGGGAGGGTTTTGATGTTACATACAAACTTCGGAAGTTTTTGCAGCCAGAGACGGGAATCCGTGGACAAAGGTGAAGTTTGGCATTGTTAAGGTCGGTTTTTTCTAGTCATTTGCTTCCGTTATGAGAAGGCAACATCTCTCGAGATGACAGTTTATGAGGGAAACACCTTACTGCCACCACACCCATACATAGTCAGTCGTACAACTTTGCCCTTGGACCTCAAGTTGCTGGTTTTGGTCTTACCGTTCTTCAACTGACCTCCCTGGCATTGTAGAACTTGAAAGAAATGTGTTTTCACCAAATATATTTCAATTGGGTCATCACGATATGTAAGTCTGACTATCACATCATGATAGCTGCTACGGTCGGTTCTGAAATGATTCATAAAATATCTATCCACGCATGTTGGTTCATGCGACGTTTGCTTCATCAATAGTCAACTGTCACGCTTAAGTTAGGAAGAAATAACCTTTTACTGAAATCTAATTGATTAAGAACCAAACAAGTGTAACTAAACTTATTCCATGTCAGTTTATATTGCTCTATATACTTATGAAGGGACGCACTAAAACATCAAGACTGAATTAAAATAACGTTACCGAATTTCATTATTTTAATTTATACAGCTGACACTCAAATGTTATTGTTTTCATTATGAACAGTGTAACTTGCTTTTGAGACAATAGGCAATAAGACCAAAAATTATATACAATCAAAAGATTTTAGTGTAAAATAAGGTGACACAGACATTTTCGATTTAATCATGATTCAGTAGCTCGGAAGTGATCATCATCCACAGTCGAATATACATGTCCTTCGGCACTAAGGAAATCCAAGTCCTCCCTGGAGAGAAACAAATAATAAAGACTTGCAAATAATTCTAACTCGAAATACTGAAGGCTGAAAGGAAAGAGGGTGACAAAAGAACACATAGTCCCGGGGATCGGAAGCAGGCACTATGAATTTAAGTACCACTTGGTAACAACTAGAAAGGTGAGCCCAGGATAAAGTTGCTTGGAGATGACTGGCCGATGTGTTGTGTACTATGAGATAGACGGCTTAGGAAAAAGTGGAATTCTCTATTAAGTCAATAAGATAGATGGACTCAGTCTTTTGTTGATTATTTGCTTAGATAGATATAATGACTAACCATTCAATCGTCACCTCCCGTAACCGTTTGCCAAACTCAATACTAAACCTGAAGTAAGTGTCTGCACCACCATTGTAACCAATTCGAAGCCATGTCACTCGACACCTCCAACCATTGGTTACGGTGATTGTGCTAACCTCAAACTACCCACCTACCAACACGACTCAGCCCAACAGTGAATGACTTCATAAACTTGTACCACATTTTGGATTGGTTACCCTTAGCTTTCCTTCAAATTACCCCTACACCAGGAAACAACGCGCGTCGAGGTAGAAGGTGGTTGGGCATACGTAATACATGTCCCAATCACATCGATTGGTGAAGATTCACTACCTCATCAACCAGTTTGTCATTTCTATCTAGTACGCTACGTCTAACTCGAGTATTGCTCGCTCTATTCTCCCAATATATGCGACCAATACTTCGAGGGCGTTTATGATCAAATACTATTAGTAAGTTACATATAGGTATTAAAACGCATAAATAGTAAATAGATGACAAACCTAAAGTACAAAAACCCTTTAAATCGAGTGGCCATCAACCAGTGGTTAGCACACTCACCATTTAAACTCGTTTCTTCTGTCGTATAATCGTAATGACATTGTTGCTCTTTATATGTTCTTCCCACTTATCACAATTAAATGAATCACTATTTCCTCCAGTATGCCACTTGCTGATTCAATGATTATTTTTGACAATTGCCAGTGGATCAACACTATTTTAACGCATTGTCTAGTGACTCATTCAGTCAGTCAACTAAAGCGTAAGACCAGGCACATATGTGCATCGGTCATTAGCACAACAAGATAAACACCGGATTTATAGGAGTAGTTAATTCAGTGGTGGTAATTTATAAAAGAAAGATTGCATATAAGGACATAGTACAGGAAGAAAGAATTAGTTCGTAGAGAGGAAGATGTGAAGCGATTTCAATCTCATAGTTTAAGGGAAGACAACGAGTGTGTACACCGACGCCATTGTGATCGATTCTGAGCCGTGTCACCAAGAATCTACAAGCATTGGTCACGATAGTCACGCAGACCCCAACCAAGTAGTCTGCATTTACCAACGTGGCTCAGACCAGGATTTAATGACTTCAAGCACTGATGCCATATTTTGGTTTGGCTGCCCCTAACTTTCTTCCAGCCATCCCTAACGCTAGTCAGCATTGCGCATCGTGGTAATCGGTGTTCAGGCATACGCAACACGTGGCCCAACTATCTCAGTCGATGAAGGTTCACAACCTCATCAACTAATTTACCATCATTCCCTAATACCTTATGTCTAACCTCACTGTTACTTACCCGGTAATCCCAGCAGATGAGAGAAATATTTCTAAGATATCTGTGGTCAAATACTAGTAGCTTACGAATATCTTCTACTTTTAATGGCCATGTTCCGCAGCCGTAAAGTAAGACAGAACGAACTGCCGCGCAGTATATTCGTCTCTTAATTGATAGACGAAAATCTCGCCTTCGCCATAGGTGGCGTAAGTTGGCAAAAGTCAAACGAGCTTTCTGAATCCGTGCAGAGATGTTATCAGACACCAACCCATTAAGGTTGATCAGACTCCCAAGATAAGCGAAGTTGTCAAGGTATTCGACTACTTCACTCCCTATCCTTAGTTCAAGTGTTGATGCAGGCCAGTCCCGAAGCAACAACTTGCATTTAGAGGGGTAGAAACGCATCTCAATCATACTGGTATTGTTCTGTACTACCAAAGGACTGTGCATTTTATCAGCGTCTTCACCAAACAGGACTATGTCATTTGCGTATTCTAAGTCAATAAGTGGATCTCCTGGAAGGAAATCGATTCCCAAGAATTCAAATGACGAAAGCGTTATTACCAGAAGTAGGTCAATGATGAAATTGAACAAAAATGGAGATAGTGAACAGCCTTGATGAACACCATTTGAGGTTGCTAAATCAGATGACAGTTCGCTATAAGCTCTCACTCGATTAGTAGTGTTTGAGTAAGGAGCCTTCACAAGGTTTATGTACTTCTGAGGTACATCTTTCAATGACGGACACTGCCACAGAACCTCTCGATCAACAGAGTCAAATGCTGCTTTCAAGTTAAGAAAAACTATCGTTGTCGGACGCCGATAAGCATGTCTGTGTTCTAAAACCTGAGGAATAGTGAATATGTGGTCGATGCAGCCACAAACAACTCTGAAGCCAGCCTGATTTTATCGTGTTTGCAGTTCACGAGTCTTTGTTAACCGCCCGATAAGTATTGAAGGTAGCATTTTAGATGCTATATTAGTCAAACTAATCCCCTTATGTTTATCACAAGATGATTTTGACCCCTTCTCATATATTGGGACAATCAGTGATTGTGACCAATCAGATGTGATTACGTCCAACTCCCAGATTTCAGTTAATAGTGCTTGTTCTGCCCTCGTACTTAGTGCTATACCTACACCTGCCGGTCCACAAAAACTAACCTTCAGGTGGCCAGATACACGGAGGATGTATGTCGTCAGCTCTCCGTTTTGGCGAGATGAGGCCAAGTGAATGACCACACTAGGATCCTGTATGCGTGTTCCGGAGACACAATATACGTTAATGGTACGAAATTATAGGGTTTAAGCCAAGGAGACTAGCTGACGGGTTTGACAAAAGTGCGTACGTTGAAGGCTCCAGTGTGTTGTTTGGAGCGAGGTTTCAGTAGACCTGGGACAGTGTTTTGCGCACTAGAATCGTTGGCTATGGTGACAATTGAGCAGGAAGCCAAACGAGGAAGTTGAAACTCAAGATAGGAGGAATAATAGGAATTGAAGAGGGAGGTTGACTATGAATGCAGTGAACTTGAGTGCTGTTAAAGGTATGATGGTGGTTATCACTGCCTGGTTGCCCACGCTATGGAAGGGTTCTTCTAGAGGTACCTGAAAAGAAAATTGGATTAGAGGTGGTTTAAGTGACATGAGAGCGTGACCGCAGTGCCCAAGGGACAACTGCTTGAGGTCGGTCACATACTTCGTAATTCTTGTCTTAGCTACATACTTGTTGGGACTTTAACACGGGAGACGGATACCCGTGAGATAAGGGAGGCGTGCATTTTTAGGGTTGACCTTTTGTAACCCCACGTTTCCTTTGTGGGAAGGCAGTATCGCTGTCATGCTGGTTGTCTGAAGGAAACACCTAACTGCGGTCACACCTCTGTACAGTCACAACAGTACAACATGGCCTAAGAACTCTGTAATGTACATACATTATTATTCAGGGAAAACTTACATTAGTCCATATTGAAACCTACTGGTTTCAAAGGATTAAAGTGCAACCATATAACAACGTATTCCTATGCTTGGAGCGATTATCAACGCATACTCAAGAGTATCGTATACAAATGCACCATAGGTAAAACAAAGACCTGTTCTATCCGGTAACATGTGAATTAAATATTTAAAAAGCAAACCATCTGTCAATATCTGACTTAGTACTACAGAAAACTAACACAAACCTTATTTGCCTCTCGGGTATCCCACGCAGCTTTTCCGTTAACTGGGATACAGGGATTCCACGCTCACCAACAAACGTCCTAACTATTGCGAGTATCTGGTTTTGCAAGACAGTGAGTCCATTACTAGTAGATCCAGGTGCATTATGCGAACCAACCTCACTGAAAATACTTTTGACGTTAGCGCCATTATTCTCATCTTGTTTGATTTTCGCATACAACATTCTTGTATAAATCACTTCCATTATATGAGCAGTAAGTTCATTCATGTCTGACAAATGGATGACCTTAAAGTAAATAAAATCTTTGTGTATGTTGATAAAGCTGTTAATATTTAAGAGTTGCTAAACCTGTAAAAAGGATATTGCTTCTGATCATTTGTACGCAACATAGTAGAAACGAAAATCTACGAAAGTAGCGGCAGCTTACTGGCTAAAGTACTTGGCTTTCATGAAGTAGATTGCAAATTTGAATCCCATCCTACGTACATTGTTTTAGGTAAGCAACGCGACTTAGACGTTGACCTTCCTAAAGATGTAAAAGATATCCCCCTTGATAGATTTGGTGAAACGAAAAGATAATGTTTTATTAGATTTGTGATCATTTCAAATGACGCAGATGAGAATCATTCAACCACTTATAACCAAAAACAGATGAAATAGGCCATATAATTGATGTCAACTCATTTTTCGTTGGACTGTGTGGACGCACAGTGAACATTTAAGTCTACTGAAGCCTAAGCCGTATCTAAATTCAAACTTACCATCTATATTCAAAAAGTCTGCACTTACATAAAACCAGACCCAGCAAGGTTGGTGTTAGTATGATAATGAATGTATATTTCCCTCATTAGGATTAGTGTTTTAGAGCTAACTTCTAAGGTTTAATGGTCGTGTCACTTGCATAAATATTTTAAAGCCATAAACTACGTTATTTGAAATACACGTGTGGTATATGAACAATTCTAATCCAGCATTAGGATATCGATAGTATGCCTCAAAGTCAACCTCTAGGATTCGTACTTTATGAGTGAAGTAAATCCACTAAATACGCTAAGATAAACAAAAATAGAACTGATGATATAGAATATTTAGGACAAGAAACTGTATAATACCTTCGTTAAATTTACATAATATGCAAGGTTAGGGTAATCTATCATCCAAAACTATATTTCACAAACGTATTAAATCCACATAATACTAGGAATAAGCATAGATTTGGTCAAATTCCAAAACACAGTTTCTCTATACATAATTAGGTACCAATAAAACACGGCTTGACTAGTTTGGTAGAACACCTGAAGCAATCATAAGAACGACATTTGATGGATCGTTAATATGCAGGTAATGCAGTACATTAACTCTAAACCCTTTTGATGCCTCATACACTCTAGTGTCAGACGATCGATTACGAGCCTGTACGAAAACTGTCTATTTAATGCTAATCATGTATTTGGATGGCTCGACGTTATACGGTAAAATCAAACTTGCCAAAAAAGCAGTTTTTGATATTTGTAGTTCCTCTATATTTGACATGTAAAATTACGTGGGTTCTAACAAAACTTGGTATTTGCTGGGCGATAATTTGTTAGAGCGCACAATGAACAGCGCTGAAGAAGAGAAAACTTTTGATAGAATAAAATACACTCGGAGCCCATCAGTCGTAAAAATATACACTGAGGAAATAGAGATTAGCAGAGATCTCACTACCCAAGGATCCCTCCTAATCACAGAAAAACCCTCCTGATCAAGAAACGCAAAACGAAACTTATCATACTCGGAAAGCAATAACATGTTTGACTCCCTGAAAATTCCGGACATGACCATGTACTCGTACATACGATAATTCGCGAAATGGACGAGACTGTAGGCCGGAAGATGTATTATCCTGATCCTCTGTAAAAAGTTTTACTGGCAAACACGGTCCTGTGTAGTCGTCGACCTCATACTCTACGCGTGTGCTTGACTCATTTACCGAACGAATAATCCCAACAACTGATATCTGAAAAATGTTAACAATCAACTTGTTCAACATACTTGACTAAATTCTATTCCACATGAAGAAACAAACTTATCACCATCTTGATTTGCGGCCATTATTTCGGCACACGTACAAGGAACAATAGTGCCCTGGTAACTAATCTTCTAAAAAAAATTAACCCCATAAATTTGGTCATTAGAAAGGTGAACCTTTTGTCCTGTACCAGCACTCATAGACGCCATATAACCTCCACCAAAGTCACTTGTAGTTCCGATACTACCACCATAATCTAGAAAGGTCAAAAACTACAAAGATCAGTGTCTACCGCTTGAGGACCACATGTTCAACTACTTTTAAATCACCCCAACTACTCAAAACTTAAAACTCGCGCTCTACGCTTAATGGACCAAAGGAGTGTAAAATACTCACTTCACGGGCTTCGTATCTGGTAGTGATGGATCACTGATATTTAAAGCAAAGAACCTGGCAATATTTATCGATCGATGAAATATTGTTCTAAGTATTCACGAATAAGCTTCCTGTTGAAGGACTCCTGAGAAGAAGCTTCACTACCTCATCTGGAAGAGAATTTGACTAATTAGAAACAGTAAAACATGTGACAACAGTTCATTCAACTATGTTGTCCCTCTCATATATGTGCATATTGCCCCTAATTTTTGTGTTGATACTGAGCTTGAGTAGGCATTTAACGGGGTTCCAAGAATGCTTATGATGCGAAATTGAAATACCTATGCTCCAGTAAGTGATGGTTCAGCGACTTTTAGTACTCCAATTGATTTCGAAGCTCACCTTTTCGATATATTCCAGTTTCTGCTAGCTGAAGACCATTGATAAATTAGAGCAGAAACCGAGTTATAAAAACAGTGCAAGAAAATGGATTGGGTAATGTATAAGAACATATTGAAAAAGCCATGAAAGGACGCAATCGACAATCCTAAAGTTTTATTCTGGCTCAGAAAATGAGGATTTCACTTGTAGTTCCCTCTAATAGCAACCACATTACCTCATAAGAAATGAAGAAAATGCTGATAGTGACATGAAATACAAAGACACATTCCCCAAAGCTGAACATAGGATAGCTGGGAAATTGCCCATTCACAAATTAATAGGAAGAGAAGGTCAACAGTGGAGAAGATGGGAAGAATCAACTGAATAGAATTGGATGGCGTGGCATGAATCGGCCTTGCAGGCGTGGTCATTCTGTACAACTTGTCTTTTTTATTCGTATTAAATATATTGTTTTATCTCTAACCTAAATGTGTTCTCCAAAAATAGATCACATCATATTGGTGATTTCTACGATAGGACCAGTCAGTGCAGACAGCAATGTGACTTCCAAGTAAGATCTTATAGATAAGATGATCACATCATGACAAATCTACAATTTTAGGATTAGGTCTATTATTACAATAGTACTAATAACGAAATAAACCATAATTCTACATTGGTAAGCCCTAATAAGGAAACACACTTATTATTAATCCTCATTTTCACTAACTATCTCGATCGATTTTTTACTTATATTCTGTTAAATCTCTGAATAACGCTCTCGTGTATTATCGTATTGTAATGTTGACTAGTGCTCAAAACTTACTAAATCAATACTAATAACTGGTCATGCATATTAACTCCGCCTGGAGTCCCTCCGGGGGGCTACTGCCGGTCCCAAGCCCAGATAAAGGAGGAGGGTTGTGCATGGGGTTAGCGACCCCATCCCGTAGAAAACTAACTCGCTAAAAAACGCTTACCAGAAAAAATTATTCAAACCTTCTAAACCCTGCCCTGGGATTCAGGAGGTCTTCATTTAGAAGAACTATGACGCCTCATGGTGAAAGCCGAGTTCCTTCAGAAGCTATAAAGCCGATGCCCTTTCTGACAACCAGAGCAACCATTTATTTGGGTACATGGAATGTTCATACAGTGTGGGACACCGGGAGAGCCTTCCAAATTGCTGCATAAATGAGGAGGTACAACCTAGAGGTGCTTGGGATCAGTAAATCACTTTGGACGAAAGTTGGACAACAACGACTAACTTCAGGAGAGCTTCTGTTATACTCCGGCCATGAAGAAGAAAATGCACCACATACACAAGGAGTTGCATTGATGCTGTCCAAACAAGCACAAAATGCACTTATAGGATGGGCATCTCATGGACCAAGGATCGTCAAAGCCTCCTTCAAAACAAAGAAAGAGGGCGCTTCAATGAACATCATCCAATGCTATGCGCCTACCAACGACTACAATGAAGACGCTAAAGATCAATACTACAATAGGCTGCAGTCAATCATTGAGAAATGCCCAAGAAAGGACCTGACCATTCTGATGGGAGATTTCAATGCAAAGGTTGGAACGGACAACACTGGATATGAAGACATCATGGGACGACACGGACTGGGAGAAAGAAACGAAAATGGTGAGAGATTTGCAAACCTATATGCCTTCAATAAACTGGTCATAGGCGGCACCATATTCCCACACAAACACATACACAAAACCACAGGACTTCACAGGATCACACCACGCAAAATCAAATCGACCATATTCAAGATAGTCCTCAGCAATAAGTCCCAGGCGTTTCATGATCTACTCAATGGAGAAGGAACTACTGTGGAGAGAAACTGGAAGGGGATCAAAAAGGCAATCACTTCAACATGTCATGAGGTCCTGGGTCACGAGAAGCACCATCACACGAAATGGATCACTGTTGATAAGATTCAAGAAAGAAGGAACAAGAGGGCAGTAATCGTTACCAGGCGAATAAGAGCAGAGAAAGCCAAGGTACAAGCTGAATACACAGAAGTAAATAAAAAGTGAAGAGGAGCATCAGAACTGACAAACGTAAATATGTGGAAGATTTAGCAACGACGGCGGAAAAGGCTGCAATGGAAGGAAACATGAGACAATTGTATGACACGACATAGAAACTCTCTGGAAATCATCGTAAATCAGAATGGCTAGTGAAAAGGAAGGAAGGCGAGGTAATCACCAACATTGAAGAGCGACAAAACAGGTGGGTAGAACACTTCGAAGAACTCTTGAATCAGCTAGCCCCACCGAACCCACCCAACATCGAAGCAGCACCCACGGACCTCCCAATCAATGTTGGCCCACCAACAATTGAAGAAATCAGCATGGCCATCAGACAAATCAAGAGTGGCAAAGCAGCAGGACCAGACAACATTCCAGCTGAGGCACCAAAAGCAGACGTAGCGGCAACTGCAAGGATACTCCACATTCTCTTCAATAAGATTTGGGATGAGGAACAAGTACCAAAAGACTGGAAAGAAGGACTCCTGATCAAAATACCGAAGAAATGCGACCTCAGCAAGTGTGATAACTACAGGGGCATCACTCTTCTCTCAATACCGGGAAAAGTCTTCAACAGGGTATTGTTAAACAGGATGAAGGACTACGTAGATACTCAACTTCGTGACCAACAGGCAGGATTCCGTAAGGATAGATTGTGTACAGACCAAATTGCAACTCTACGGATCATTGTGGAACAATCAATTGAATGGAATTCATCACTCTACATCAACCTCAGTGACTACGAAAAAGCGTGGACAGAACAACACTATGGAAGCATCTTCGACACTACGGCTTGCCTCAAAAGATAGTCGATATCATACAGAATTCCTATGATGGATTACACTGCAAAATCATGCATGGAGGACAGTTGACAAACTCATTCGAAGTAAAGACCGGTGTCAGGCAAGGTTGCTTACTTTCACCCTTTCTCTTCCTCCTAGTTATCGACTGGATCATGAAGACGTCAACATCTGAAGGGAAACACAGGATACAATGGACATCCAGGATGCAGTTGGACAATCTAGACTTCGCAGATTATCTGGCTCTTCTATCGCAAACGCAACAACAAATGCAGGAGAAGACGATCAGTGTAGCAGCAGCCCCAGCAGCAGTAGGTTTCAATATACACAAAGGGAAAAGCAGGATTCTCCAATACAATACAGAATGCACCCATCCAATCACAATTGACGGAGAAGATTTGGAAGATGTAAAAACCTTTACATATTTAGGCAGCACCATTGATGAACAGGGTGGATCTGATGCAGATGTGAAGGTGCAGATCGGCAAAGCAAGAGCAGCATATTTACATCTGAAGAACATCTGGAACTCAAAGCAACTGTCAACCAACACCAAGGTCAGGATTTTCAATACAAATGTCAAGACAGTTCTACTGTATGGGGATGAAACCTAGAGAACTACGAAAACCATCATCCACAAGATATAAATGTTTATTAACAGCTGTCTACACAAAATACTTCGGATCTGTTGGCCAGACACTATCAGGAACAACCTACTATGGGAGAGAACAAACCAGATCCCAGCGAAGGAAGAAGCTCTGGAAGTGGATAGGACACACGTTGAGGAAAGAACCCAACTGCGTCGCAAGACAAGCCCTCACATGGAATCCTCAAGGCCAAAGGAAAAGAGGAAGACGAAAGAACACATTAAACTGGGAAATGGAAATAGACATGAGAAAAATGAACAAGAATTGGATGGAACTAGAAAGTAGGTCCAGGACAGAGTGGGATGGAGAATGCTGGTCGGCGACCTATGTTGCATTGGGAGTAACAGGCGTAATTAAGTAAGGTCATGCATATTAATTACTGACTACTATGGTTTATTAACAAGCTTCAATTGCATTTATATACTTCAGCGAAATAAGCTTGTTAAAACACGAAGCTCTAGCAAATTTGGCCTTCGAATGACGTAATTAGATACTAAGTAGCAACGTGAGCAAGGTCTGAATGGTTGTCTGGACCTGCTTCTTCAACTAACGTTTTCAAATGAAAGTTTTATTAAGTTAGAGACCATGATTACCAGGGTTATTACAGGAGATAACTGAAACTGATATTGCACTAATCACGAGTAAGTCTAAATGTTGCCCTTGAAAATATTCAATTTTCCGTTTCTGATCATGCTTAATATTCATTTCTTAGTTGTTTTTTTAAAATACTGCGCTTATTCTTCGATAATTAATTAGGAAAAATATAACTCAGTGACTTTGGTAGACACGATGCCATCTTTAATTGAAATTTAGTTATCAGTACAGTAAACCTAAAAGTACAGAGACGTTTTTTAAGACAAGATTGATATATTTCAATTTTGAAAAACTCAAGTTTTTTTTGGAAAATTGGGAGATTAAAATGACCATCCATGGATGTTTAAGTTCATAAATGTAAGAGATAATTCTGAGCGCTTATCTAGCCCAATCTCCCAATTTCGAGGAAGATGTAACCCATTTTGGGGAAGCCGCTGTTTAAAGGTTTGGGTAAATTGCACCAAAACCCCAATATTTCCCTTTAAGCTTGATGAAGGTCATTTGACTCTGGAGGTCCCCCGAAACTTCGGAGATTGGGAAGTACTAAAGATTTACAAGTGAATGGTGTTAGCCGCTTCCATTTTGGTCAATCAGTTTATAATATATCTTGACTTGCAAATACACTATCGATATAGACAACCAAAGGCAGTCATTTTAGATCCAAGCGAGTAAAGTGAGTGTGGATTAGTTCCGATCACTATCCCGACTTTAGAAAAGCTGGGGAATGGTGCATATATGGTGAAATCACATAAATAAATGCTCAGACCAGACATATGAAAGCCAAATATGCTGGTTAACTTAGGTTTTAATTCGGTCACCCTGGTAAACATATTTGTGTCTGCTAGTCTATTTCTGTTGAACATAAATATTGTAAATGCGTTAAATAATTATAACTCTGGACACTTCAAAGTAATCCCACAAGATTCTGAACCTATTGTATTGCATTATACCTCTGGAGTATCGCGATTCAAGCACAATACTAGTACCAGTGTTATTTTTACTCCGATTCAACAACTGGTGTCAAAGTCATTAATAGCTCACTAAAGATCTGATATTAACAAACTAATACCATTTTAGTGGACGCTACTCATAAGGTAACCTGTATGTGGTATAAAGTTTATTAATACTATATGTACCAGTTGCTGTAATTACATAAACATTCAATAACATTATGTCTCGAGTTATCACTCAATGCGTTGGTCAGGGACCATTTAGAAAACCACGAATATATTCCATATTTAACTATCTGTTTAACTTGATAGTATAACGTTACTTCTAAGACCCTCAGATCGACCAAGCCTATTTTCTCGCTGATACACCGGCTACCCTATAGCAAATCAAACTTGTCGTCCCCGTATCGCTGTATATGTTCGATGACCACTGTCAGTCGCTCAACACATAATGTCGAGTTTCCGCAGTAGGAATCTGCAAAGCGATGGTCAACCATAGTTTCGACACAAAGCAGGATGATTTCACTGAATTATGTTGTCCCCTCTGCATCCAAGTGCACATTATCAATGATACTACCAAGGTCTTGTTATTAAAATCCAAAGGACTGCATGAGTACCATCCGCAAGTTACAAAGCACTTTTCCACTCCACAGTTATTCCTAACCCAAACTTCTATCTGTATATCTAGTTATTATTCGTTCGTAATAATATAAATTCAAAGTGTTTTTGGATATTATTATTACAAATTATTATTGCACTACATGCACTCGGCCTAATTTAGACTCTTACCAATCTATTTCTTCAAAAAAATAATGACTTATAGTACATTTTACAACACATAAACCTAAATCAACCCTACTTTCCACATTTGCTGACTTTATCTGTCTTACGATTCCACGATGTGCTTTTTCTAAAGGAAACACAGATAACATTCATAATTATCTCGTTACATTGCAGACAAGCATTTCAGGAACAGCACTGCTGAGTAATAGATTACATCTGAAGAACTTAATCAACCAGATAGTGTAATTGGATTAAAATCATATGAGGACGACCACATTCCTTATAAACACCGTAAATACCACCATAAGCAGGATCACCACACCTATTATTATCAAGTCGATAGAGCTGACCAGAGTGAGTTATTCAAGCGAACATAACTGCGATTCCAGCGAAGTTGAAAGTTCCCTAGTAGACAGGTTTTTTCTTCGTTGGAAAGTTTTGATACGTATTGCGGATCTGTGTAGTCATATTAAATCACTATGCTGTTAAAAAGAATCAATTGCTAGTACGCGGGAGCCGTTTTCTCAATTCCTATGAACACAGTGAAGTAGTGACAAGGTTTTCTTCAGATCTCATGTCAAAACGATAGTAAGCAAATAAATAGAAATCGATGTTCGACAGAAGTAGGACCCAAAACGCCCGTCCCGTCTCATTTAAAACCCATCATTTGGTTGTACCTGAAGCCGACAGCTGTTTACTTCGGGACTCGAACCAAGTGCCGTACGACTTAAACGCCACCTTATTATTCACTTAGCTACTAAATCCAGATAATCATTAGTTTGTGCAATTGCGAAGTTTGATTTAAGGACAAGCCGCGTGTCTTAAATTCTAGCCACCGTCCATTTTTGTTTAGAATGCTTGTGACTTACGGCGACATCGAGGCAATCCACGCCTGATCAATTACAGCCCTAAAACTTTGATGAGAAAATTTAGACAACCGATACAAAGCAAATTATTGTAAATAAATGTCCTTGGTCTTGGTGTTACACTAGTATCCATCAAGTAGACACACTACCGTGTAACTTTTACCAAATAAGGTGAACTAATGAAGCGGGGGACTATATCGAAATCGACATATTGTAAATACGAGGCGCTACAAAAATAATTTCAGGTATTAGAAGAAACTTAGAGTTTATTTTACAAGCATACTGCAAATTTTCTTTTCAACGTCAGATGTAAAAGTTATGTTAGAGGAATAAGTATACAAATTAAACTACATGCAACTTTACGAGGCCTCTGATTTCGACTCTGGTTCTTTATTCCAGTCCTTGAGTCCAGGAGGGAGTGAAACATCTTCATCCAAAGGGCCTGGAAAAAGAAACATAAAAGAGCTTAGCTATTTATGTAACAGGAAGTTATTTCAAGTCAGAAACCCGTTTATTATGCAATAGAATGAATATTAATTTCAACAAACTGAAAATGTTTGTATAAATTACACTCTCAGTATGTATCACTACAGAGAAATAAAAAGACAACTGTATTGATATTTTTAATAGCATGGAGCAGATCGTATTTTACATGTGCACTAGAGTAGATGATAAATGGTCATCAAACAAACAGTTCGAGTTGCCATATCACATTAGGACACAGATACAACTGTCAATTCAAATCCCTTAATGGTAGAGGTAGTTAGAGTATTAAACAGCAGTCAAAAACATTAACATTTGAAGATGTTATTCAAGGAGTATAATCCAGTGAAATAAATTTGAGAAGAGAAAAAAAGGAGACAAGGAGGAATAAGGAGATCAGAATTTGGGAGAACACAAAGAGTGTATGCACTTACGCCATTGCAAACGATTTTGAGCCATGTCATTCAGGGTCTCTAACCCTCGGTTGCCATCATCTCGTGGTCCCCAACCACGTAGTCTACACCTACCAACATGACTCAGTCCACTTGTCAGTGACTTCATGGACTTGTGCCATGTTTTGGTTTGGCCGCCCCTAGCTTTCTTCCGATCTACTCCTATACCATTGAACATCGCTCGTCGAGGCAGTCGGTCGTTGGGCATACGTAACACATGTCCCAGCCATCTCAACTGATGAAGTCTCACTACTTCATCAATCGATTTGCCATCCTTACCTAGTACCCGTTTCCTAACAACTGCGTTACTTACTCGATGGTCCCAGGATATACGAGCAATGTTTCCAAGACACCTATGATCAAATACTAGTAATTTAGGAATATCCTCTACTCTTACTGGCCATGTTTCACTGCCATAAAGTAGGACGGAACGAACTGCTGCGCAGTAAACACGTCCTTTGGTTGATAGACGGATATCTCGCCTACGCCATAAATGACGCAAGTTGGCAAAAGCTAGACGAGCCTTCTGTATCCGTGCTGAGACTTCGTCACACACCAGACCACAAGGGCTGATCAGACTTCCAAGATAAGTGAAGCGGTCGACACCTTCAACTACTTCACTCCCTATCATTAGTTCGGGTGTCGATGCAACCCAATCCTGAAGCAAAATTTTGCATTTCGAGAGGAAGAATCGCATGCCGAACATGCTTGCATTGTTGCTTAGAATGGTCAGAAGACTCTGCATTTTGTCAGCGTCTTCACCAAATAAAACTATGTCATCAGCATATTCTAAGTCAACAAGTGAACCTCCCGGTAGAAGTTCAACCCTTGGAAATTTAGACGAGGAAAGTGTTATCTCTAAAAGTACGTCGACGACAAAGTTGAACAAGAATGGGGAGAGTGGACAGCTCTGACGAACACCACTTGAGGTAGTCAATTTTGATGACAGTTCGCCATAAGCTCTCACTCTACCAGTTGTGTTGGAGTAGAGAGCCTGTGTAAGGTTAATGTACTTCTTTGGTACTCCTTTAAGTGACAAACAGCTTCGAAGCTATATCAACCCAATTAATCTTACTGATGGTGCAGAGCAACCTTATCTAAAGAACTCTAACGTTAATTAACCAGAATACATTTATACTTCTTGAAATTTCATTACTGCTTTCTTTATATCACTATGAGTTAGAGCTTTTATGCAATGTCCTACTATGTTGTTGGTGGATACAAGTGGACGGAAGATTGACTAACAGTGAGTTAAACTATTCTGAAAAGGGCTCACCCGTTGCTGGAGTCACTCGTTTTGTGAGTAAACCACAAATTAATTTTTTGTGATTATTTAAACAACTGAAGTTCAAAACTATGTCCTTGGTGAGTGTTAGGTAGTCGGAAAAATAGACCAATAATTATCATGTTAAGTCCAATGGTGTCCTTGGACCTTAAATGTACATTTCCCATTGGTCGATATTTATTTAACGTGTTATTTTCCTGTTGGCCAATATTGTACAATGTTATTTTCTACTTTGTGGTACGATGTGGTTTGTTTGCTTGGTATATAAATAGAGTATGTTTGAAATATAATGATTCATATATCCGAGGCTGTGACTTGCGTTCTGGACTCATCTGGCTGGGCTATACAGGGAAGCGAGACCAATCAGAACCCTAGGTCGTTCTACGTGTTTGCGCGTCTTTGGTCCGATCAATAATCCGCTATCCCTTAATCAGCAGCATTTATTTTCACGTTATAACAGTGAGTGTAGACAGATGTTCAAAGTAAACTTCTTAAGTACTTTTAGTTTCATTGTTCACCATTGAGCAACTCCATCGCGTAAACGGCTTTTGAGACATCGGAATTGCCGTCGTTCTCATCACCAGCCAGAAATGTGCTTCCGACGGATTATTAGTCCGGGAGAGTCCTTTATAAGTCTTTTGTTTAGGTTACTTAAAGATATTATTGCTGTTTAAGAGCAGATAATTTTAGGATTCAGGAAGTACGTCCAAATTACACAACTCTAAGCACTGAACTAACCACTTAAAAATGTTATAAGCTGTTCCGAAAACTCAGTCGTCATAGGAAAATAAAAAAATTCTGAAAAAACGAAAATAAGTTTAAGATAGCTTACCAGGACCTACGAGTTCTTCATATGTGTTTTTCTCCACAAACGGTCTTGGACCTAATACTTCAACCAGGTCTTCTTTTTGCAACTGCTCTTTGTCTAGTAAGCGTAGAGCTACCTGATAAAATACAAGCAGAATAATGAGAGAGCAACTAAACATTTGTTAATTCAACATAACACCTCAAAAATATCAAAAAACAAAAGCAAAAAGAAATTACCTTTTCGACAAGCTGTCTTTTTTCTCTTAATATCGTTAGTGTTCTTTCGTAGGCTGACTCAACAAGTTGTCTAACTTCTTCGTCTATTATTTGTGCAGTATGCTCAGAATATGGCTTGGTAAGAACCATATCACCTTGCTCAGGCAAATCGAAACTTAGCAACCCAACTTTTGAACTGAATCCTAATTGGACAATTTGAGAATAAGCTGATCGAGTTACACGCTGTAAATCGTCCACTGCTCCACTTCCAACTTTACCGAAAAACACTTCTTCACTTGCTCGACCTCCTAATGCCAAACACATTTCATCCAACATTTGATCTTTAGTCAACAAATATATATCCCTAGGTTGATACTGAGCATAACCAAGAGCTTTACCACGAGGAATTATTGAAACTTTCAACAACGGATTACAGTGTTCTAAAAACCAACCAACAACTGCATGTCCAGCTTCATGGTATGCAACTATTTTTTTCTCTTCGGGTTGTAATACCTAATAAACAAAAAATACAAAACAGTTACTCCGCTCCAACATGAAGAAGTAGAATACATGAGATATAAGGCTAGACCATAAGAGAAAGAATAGCAACTTTCAATGGCACAACAGAAATCAGCTTACAGTGAAAATGAATCGGAATAAAAGTCTGCTTCAGCAGTGCTCAAACAATCTATTTCCTGTATATACAGCCTGTTACAGTTTCACATCAAAACCATTAATATGTATTATGGAAAAGCATTGCACATGGTTGAAGCAGGAGAATTAGGTAAATTATGAGACGTTGTTCGAAAACAAAAGATGTTACAAAGCTAACTGATCTAAGGGATATTTAGTGTTGAAGAGCAATCAATTAATCATATCATATAAAAACAACAGTTTTAGCTCGTATGACTAAGAAGTAATTTCACAATTAAGTAGAATAAAATTCATTCGTGCACTTAGCAGAAAACGTTTAACAGGTAATGTGATACTTATTAACTGAATTTGGTTCGAATTCAAATATAAACAAACAGCGATGGGTAATATCTTGTGCAAAATTTACATAGAGAACGTTAACGTAGAAAATACCAAGCTGTGAAACAGCACAAATCTTAAGATCAGATCAATCTTTTTTATTGCCTTCTGTCCACCAACCCTTAAAACTTAGCCATGTGACCCCACTCAAAAAAATCACCAACATTAGGACAGTACTTCTTATTTCTATCATTCACGAGGATTATGCTTCAGAGTCATAACCGCGTGACTGCAGCAACCTGAAAGACACAAGTAGCAGGATAGCAGATTTCACTTGCACGATACATCTTATCAACACTCGCACAAGCATATAGGGATTATAGGAAAGCAAACTCCAGACCACAGGCCATATTCACTTCCCATAGTACAGCGAATACGCTTCTGTATCTAAAGAAAAAAATGTTGCTAACTGATACTTACATTAGTACAAAGATTATCATTTGCTTCAGCTTTACTACTGGAAATGAAACAACGACCATTCAAGCTTATCAGTTAACGTGACTCCATACAGGTCCGTGTACTTTACTTTGAGCCACTATTATATAAGCTAGTCAAACTAGTGAACGAGAACTCAGGTGGGGAAAACCAATTTTTTGTATGATGCAAAATCACACAGTGGCTTAATAAAATCTTAAAATCATACATTAAATACATCATTTGCACATCCACTTTGCGCTGTCCTTCACATACTCCACTATTCCTCTGATTCTGTTGTCATTTCGATTACTCCACGATTTCCTTTCAGTTCTCTTCAATTCAATTTTCTGATGCCAGGCATTCTACTTCCGATTGCTGCTACATACTACTCATGTCAGTCGGCATAAACAGCATACACCACAACACTATCGAGCTCTCAAAATAAATTTAGGAGGAACAGCGTGCGAATATGTTCCAACCTAGTTAAATGTCAAACGATCAACACATAAGTAAGAAATCCTCATCCTTTTTTGAAGAAACATAAAGTTGCGGTTGTTCAATCCTCGAATCCGTGATCATTCCTATGTAACACAATGGAATCATCTGTGGCATTAGATTGTTCTGTGTAGTTGCCCTAGCTTTTAGTTCAACTAAGAGAAAGTATCTTAAATTCTGAGAAACTTAAGTCGTAAAACACTGTAACACAATTTTACCATAACTGCGCATTACATCATCTGAGTTGTTAAACTGGTACTCACATATGGTTTTTGAATTCCGTTTTCCTTCTTCAAATTTGGTAGTTTCCATCTTATGTAGCCCTAACTGTCTGCAACGCATACATTATTAAATACTGACAAACTACAATACCTAAGTAATGACAATTTCAAAACAAAGAAACTAAATAAACATGTCAAGACTGAATGAAAAAGTGAACAACATTACTTGACTTTTCTTTTCTAACCCAGCAATTACACGGTCGATAGCTTTATCAAAATGGATCAGATTGACACTATGAGCATCTTCTCGCGCAGCAATTAACGCTGCCTCATTACATACACTTGCAATATCCGCACCAGAAAATCCCGGAGTACGTGTAGCCATTTTGCGAGCTACAAGTTGCATATCATCAGCTAATTTAATTGGTTTCAAATGTATCTAGTATCAAAACAAAAACACAAATCTTTATGAAGACTAGTGAAGGTAGATAACATAGAACAGAAGACGAATCAGGGGAACAAAATTTGTTAATAATCATTACGTAGTTATAAACTGATTATAATTTCTTTATATAATGGTTAACGAACTACGTAATCCTATATATATATATATATATATATATACTGGTAAACGGTTTTTTCTAAACAGTCAGCATCTGCGGTAATGTTGCCTTCTCAGAACTGAACAACAGGGACCAACCCTAAAAATAACACGTATCACCTTGCCACACGGATTTCAGAATCAGATGGCAGTTCTTTTTGAAGTCACAACACACCAGAAACTCGCAAAAAGCTCGTGTGTAGCTGGACTTGAGAAACTGTCCTATAGGCATTGTGATCACGCTTTTCGGTCGTCAGGGCCACTTTTAACACAACTTTCTTTCCAAGCAACTAAAGAACTTTCCAAGATATGGGTAACCGGAAAGTGATAGTCACTTTTTTAGCACTAACGGTACACGAGATCACCTTGCTTACAATCAAATCTCATCTTTATTACCAGATATTAGTTCTGTTTCTATTGTCAATTCTCACCTCTTACTTTGAGTTCTTATACATGTGCCAACGATGGTAACACCTCAAGTCCACAAAATTCTATTCGAGGTTTCCTTAAATTACACCCTAGGCTACATATTGTGGTTTGTTTATGTTCGGACTCTATTTCAAACAGAACAACAGGTGTCACTAACTAGGAATCCAGCGTCCCGTGGGTCGATGTGGTGTCTCCGAAATCTAAATACCCATTAATTACCGACAACGTAGTTAATGATTTGTACATGATCGGGAAGCTAACGTAATTTTCATACAAATTATTGCAAACAATGGGCCCTATTTAACCTCGAGATCAAGAATTAAAGAGATATTTGAATACGATTATCGAGACTTACCAAAATAGACAAAGCTTGTACATTTATACTAGACAGGATACACGAGAAAGAAGGGATTCAGTTAATTGTCTGGCGAACAATCACTTTAAGTGAACATGAAATATCACGGGTGCTATTGGTAACAAACAGTAGAACCTAATAACACATGTTGGTACTTTAAAGCGAAAACGTGAGTGATCTGAATTACATCTTTCAAATGAATAATTTAAATAATTAAAGTATATATGTAGCTTACAGTCAATGAAATCTATTAACGTGTACAGGAATGTGAAGAATACTTTATCGAGACCAAAACTAACCATGAACTAGGCTGCTGTGGAGTATCTCAACTTGACAGACTTCAAACATGACACAATAGATTTGAAGTGAATGCGGTCTATCACATCCCTGTACAATTTAATATCGGTGCATTAACAGAGCAGAAAAAGAGAGTACAAGGAATCTACCATTGCCATACATAGTCAATGATGGGTTAAATATGCTAAACTGGTCCGATATTCATCAGTTTGATGATACCGTAACTACAGAATATACAACTGAATTATGACAACATAAGAAGAGCAGTTTTTTAACGAGTCATCCTTCAATTAAAGCAGAATATGTATTGATACCATGTACTCATGAGGTATTCACAAGAACCCTTAGGATTAATACACAGATCATAGGGGTAGGAATACATATAGGTTTAACTTGGTATAAATATGTCTACATTTAAATTTAATTCCATGACTAACATTAATACTTTAACTGAGTATGCAAACAGAACACAAATGTTCATAAATTCAACATGCCCAAATTTAAAACAGTAAAATCCGCAAGATAATATGTACAAACCTTAAATATTGATGCACGACCTTTGATATCTGGCAATGATACATAGATTTGACGATCAAAACGTCCAGGCCTAAGAAGAGCTGGATCTAGAATATCAATACGATTGGTAGCAGCCAGAACGACAACATTTTCTTGAGTAGTAAACCCTAACAGAAATAAAATAGTCATTAGGATTCTTTAAAATACCTATAGTGATAATCAGCGAGAAGATTACACTACATTGATGACCAATATGGATGTATCCATATATCATCTAAGTGTTACAATTCATCATTTGAATTAGATTGACAAAAGTTAAAGTAAATAAGAGGTTTAGAAATTTTAAAAGTATCCTTTGGCCATAAATATGCTTTGAAAGAGAATGAAATAAGCTTTTGCATAAAAAGCCAAGGTCTCAAACAAACTTGACCCAATATCTGGAGAATTTAACAAATGTACACATGCTTAGTCAATGACTAACTTACAAAGCGAAATGTGTGGTTTTGCTATTAATACGATCAGATTTAAAGGTCAAAATGACTACTAATTTTTGTTCAACCAACACAATTTATATGAATAAACTGTGTTGTATATTCACATCTCCATAAATAATAAACATGAATACCAATGTTAATTGTCATTAGAAAGGAAAAGCGACAAAAATAAAAATTATTAAGAGATAAGACGAAACTTTCTGTAGAAATAAGCTGAAGATTGATTTCAAGCCATCATCTACATTCGGGATGAAATCGGGCACTTGAACAAAGATTAGATGGGAAAAAAATCCAGGTATAAATTTAGTTGAAAACAGTAAACTGTATTTTAAGTGCAAAAAACTAGCTTGGAAAATACTTCGATGATTTCCTGTTCATTAAGTTTGATATATTTTGTTACTATTGTCAACAAGACTTTTTTAACGGCGTCTATTAGACTAACAATTTTAGTATAAATTTGATCCAAAATGTTTGGGTTTTCTGTCAGTTCCTTAGATCAAATTAACTTTCATTTTGAAAGTTATACTGCCTACTCGAGTTATAACGAAATCCTAAGTGAGTCAAGTAGCTAACTTATCACAGCCATAATCCAACGTAAAACTCATTGGAAAATGCATTCATTAAAAAGTTACACTTGATTAAAATATCTCCAAAGCAATCCATTTAGTAAATCGTTTTGTAAGAATAATCACCTTCAGTTTACCCACTCTTAACAGTAATAAGAAATATAAACAGTATTCACTCAATGGTTTACCCTAAATTATTCAGATGTCTTGTTTATTGTATTACACTGAAAAATAAACTATTCGCTAAGTGTTTCTTCGACGATACGGACAGTATGTAGTACACTAATGTGGACCTTTGAAAATTATAAATGGAGAAAAACTATGTTCCTTTTTTAATTCAGCATATTACTAAAATGAATTCAAAATAAGCAGAAAACGAGTGACGATCGTTTCCATACTGGTAAACGCTTGTAATCATACAACCACAAAACGATCTATAAATCCTTGAGACAAATTTGCTTTCACTATTTTACCGGTAACTTATAAAAAATGTTGGCTGTAAAGAAGCAATTTTGTATTAAAAAACGTTACAGAGAAAATCAAAATGTCAGTTTAGAGTTATAATACCGTCCATTTCCACAAGTAGTTGATTGAGAGTATTTTCCCGTTCCTGATGACCAAAAGATGTACCAGATCGCTTGCCACCAATAGCGTCAATTTCGTCAATAAACAATATACAGGGAGCTTTGTCTCGTGCAGAGGCAAACATATCGCGTACCCTTTTCGGTCCTACACCAACGAACATCTCTAAAAATTCACTCCCAGAAACGGAAAGGAATGGAACATTCGCTTCTCCAGCAGTCGCTTTAGCCAAAAGTGTTTTGCCAGTACCAGGAGGACCCTAAATTAAGAGAACGCCTGTTGTTAAGCCTGAGAAAACTGATAACGAGTGCAATCTCCTAAGATAACTGAATGACACAAAAAAATTCATCACCTATGGAGACAATTATAAAACATCCACAGCAAACATGAAGAATAAAGTAAATCGAGGCAAAATGATGAAATCTGTGTAGTTAATTGCTATGACAGAACGAATTGATACAAAGTGATGCTTTCCATAAAACAAGGATACAGAAACTATGCTCTCGTTCTCTCATAAACCTAAGAAAAGATATAAATGTATGTTGACTCAGGTTGTTACGTCACACATAAGTACAGCTAGAAAATAAGTTAACAAAATAAGAAACAAAAGGTGAAGACTAAACGTCAACTTCGATGACAATAGAAATGCAGTTTTGAAAAAAATAAGTGAGCTCGATGGGTGTAATATTAACAAAGACACAACCCATGAGTTAGAGGAAGGTTCCGTTTAATAAACAGAGGTTAACAATTAGGTTGTTTATAATTAAACAGACAGACAGATTTTCAACTAGTCAAAACTTACAATAAAAAACGGTCAAATATTTTTCATTGATTGACCCAACTAGAGAGCAAACTATCCAAAAGAATTGATAGGACCATGTAGTAACACGAATACGAAGCTTTCGAAGAGAACACTTTACTACAATAGTCAACACCCTAAAACATTCATGTCGAATTCAGTCACATCCGATCATTATTATTGTCTTGTTATCAAATAAGTTGCAATATAAATAACGATCTTAAGTTGGTTTGAGAAGAAAAATTAATAGCACAATCACTTAGTTGTAAGCAACGTAGGACTTAACATATATGTACATTGGTTCAATTTGTCACAAAACAATATATCGCTATGAATACCAAAGTAGTAACACTAGTGTATTAAATAAGCTTAAGTATAGGGAATACAGTTCGAAGACGGATTTGTGAAATATGATGTATAAATTAATTTTAAAAGTCAGGAACTAAGAGAAGACAAAGAGTGAATGAATCTTCCCTATCGTAAAAGATCCTAAGTTCTGTAAACCAAAGTCTACAAACACCGATCACTATTTTCACATGGACCCCAACAAGATAGTCTGTATTTATCAACATGGTTCAGTACAGTTGCTAATGTCTTCATGGATAGATGTTATGTCTTGGTCTAGCCTTCTTTTAGTTTACTCTTATACCAGCAAACGTCGTGCGTCGAGGTGGGCAGCAGATGGTCATGTTATACGTATTCTATCCACCTCAATCGATGAAGGTTCACTACCTCAGTAATATCTCATTAATTCAGTCGAACGAACAGCTATCACTCAGCCAAATCATATTATTTGATAGACACCATTCATTTTTAACAATCTAAAAGCCGTTCACAATTCATCACTAACCCCAATTTATGATAAAGTGAAATTGGTTCTAAAATAGAGATAACAAGTGACAAATAACGAGAATGTGCAATAGAAAATCCTTGGAATATAAACTAACAAACGGAGAGTAATTATGCCACATTATAAGATTGTAAACCAAACCATAGCAAACTAACTTTCAGGATGGCACCACGAGGAATCTTTGCTCCTAGCGCTTCGTATTTTGCTGGATTTTTTAGGAAGTTAACAAATTCAATTATTTCAAGTTTTGCTTCTTCACAACCTGCTACATCGCTAAAACGTACACCAATCTTATCTTTTTCTATTAAACGCACAGGTGACTGTCCGAAATTGAATAATCCTGAACCCAGTCCTGACTAGAAAAAGAAGGAATCAGTTGTATATACATAACACCAATATACTTCCACACTTAAATCCATTAACACATTTACTAACTGATTTTCGTGCTACCAAAAATACTGCTTACCTTCCGTACAACACCACCAGATGCAGGCCGTAAGGAATACACAGCCATTAAGAACAAAGAAATATAGAAAATGCCATATAAAACATCTGATCTACAAATGAGAAAAAAGAATAAAAGCATGGACGCACGAGAGGTAAAACAATAGGATTCGAAATCCTGCTAATACTCGTGAATAATAAGCCCGAGAAGAGTCTCCAAGTCCCACTAAGTTTTGGTTTCTGAGATATATATACATACTACTACATGAAGAAAATCAGAATCCATCGTCGTGAAAATATGAGAAGCTAGGTTTACAGAAAAAAGATTTGACTTTCATAGCGACTTCTACAAAATTGATCAAATATTCACCGAGCTTTCAGTTAAGCCATATGTGTCAATATCAACAAATGGAAAGTAATGTACAAAATATGAGAAAACTACTATTTGGATACTAAATATTCCATTTCACAGAAACGCACATGTTCATTGTAACACAAAAAAATTTATCCATCCATTTGTTTTAAAAGAGATTATGTACAATTCATTAGAGGAGATAAAAACAATTAAACTGCAATTAAGTTTTGGTTAAACTCAACATACATTTATTTCACACTGTTACCACTTATTCGAATAAAGTTGTTTCACAATTTGATATAAAGTACAGGATTCATTCAAGTAAAAAATAAAACCAACTGAACGATTAGCAATTTATGTTTAATATAATACTATATTGACAGCAAAATATCTTGAACTAATAACAAATAATTCTTCTACCGTAAAACTGTCCAAGTAGTGTGCAGGTACTAACGACAGTGAATGGTTTTACTTCAGACTGTAGAGGGCCCTCAAAGCCTTCAAACCTCATCAAGCTTATGCACAGAAAGTGAATGACTGAAAAGTGTGGGAAATTTTTCTTAGTTAATGATTATCAGTTGGATGCGCTGTTAATGCATAATGACAGGAAGGTTTTAAACTGTTGCAATGTACTGACTTTATTATAATCATATGAGACCGACGCGAATGGAATACATATCCCACTTAACTTCGTGTATATTTATCGACTTGATTCGCGTTAGTAAATAATGGAATAAAAAATGCCAAATATGAAAATGATTTTGAATATATATATATATATATATATATATATATATATATATATATATATATATATATATATATATATATATATATATATATTTCACACATTCGTTAATGCAAACAGAGAATAAGGAAAAGTGGAGAGTTCAACTGTGTCTATTCAACTTAATTAAAATACGAATCAAAATTTATAGACATGAAAGATACAAGTAACCATAAAGACACAACCATACACACATCTTAAGGTCACATATGTAAACGACAGAATTAGTGAGATCAGAATAAATCATGTTCAAACGTTCAAATAAATCATGATAAATGGTAGCTTCTACAAGACGTATCATTTTATTCCTGTAACAACAAAGTCCATTAAGTGTATGAAACGATTTACTGACAGACAATCATTCTATTTATTGCCAACTGTGAGTTGCCACACTGTAAATTTATAAAAATATGTCGAATAACTTCATATCAAAGTTAATAACAGTTTTCTCCGATGTGTCAGCGGCTAGAAAATTTAACTTTTAGCCATTAAAATACAAGTTTGGACGCCAATCTACCTACTTCAATTTTGATAATTACAGAGTCCTCGGACTTGAAGTATGACTTGGAGTTCGGTACACAAATCTGTGCCTTGTAAATTAATTTTCGAAAAGTTAGTTAATGATAATTAACCAATGATACTTACAGCTTTAGACGACTGCTATAGGTTATAAACGTTCTATGCATAGGATCTATACCCATATGAGCCTCCATATCACGTAGACTTCGTTCAAAAGTGTCAACTGAACCGATTTCAAACCAATAAATTTTCTTGCTGGGATCAATGGATTCATACGACTCGAAATCTGCGCCTGGTTGGAGATGGACTCTAACCCAAGATTTGTTCACAACCTCTAAGTGATGGACAGCACCCCTACGAAAATATACTGATATAAAATGAGATGCACATACATATTATACAAATAAATTTTTCAGTCTGTTTATCAAATATAAGCAGTTTTACATTATACTTTTAACCCAGACGCATCATTAAATCAAAGTAATTCGACTGAATAGGTTACAAATTATGAGTGCTATATTCAAGTCATCAAAATGAAAAGCTATACGAATTGCAAAGTTATTTTTTAACAATCTGAAGATTTGATGTCTTTGAATGATTGCTGACATTTGGTGGTAACAATGTGTTAGTAGTGAAGAGGTTCGACAACGTGTATTCGGGTGTAGTAATGATAATTTAATCGGTTTGGACATATTTTACGGAAGTCATCCAGTGGCTTCCAAATTGTGCTTCATTTACATTCACTAGAACTGGTTAGAATAAGGAGAGAGGTCAATTACTAATATGGTGCTAGTGATTAAAGAAAGCTGGATAATATTGACATTTGTCGTTGGTTGGGGTCCTGGAAACGAAACGACGCAGGAGATAGGCATAATTAGATATAGCAAATAATAGAAAAAAGATGGTAAATATGTAGTTTACTTGTTTATTCTTCGTAAAAATGAGTGAAACTCCTTTAACTATAGGGAACTCCATTATTGAATGAACTATATCTTCTATTGTATATCATTCTTCTTAACTTAATTATTCCATATACTTATTTACTTTATGAATATACTTCCTTCTATTTACTTTCCAATGTTATTTCAGTATTTTGTACAGTGCATTTTAATTTTAGTGGAAAGTTGTACCAGGTTACACTCGTCAGTCAGTTCTATGCAATCTAGGACCGGAAACATATAAATTGGTTCACTTTTCCATTATAGAAAAAATTCCAAAACAAATCTAAGAGTAGTGAATTTAACAGTAGCTGTACCTTCGGCCATAGTAGTAGTGGGATATAATAAGTATAGAAAAAAGCACAATATTTTATGAAAATATAGAGTGAGTCTATTTCACTGTGAACGATTCTGAGTCACGTTCACCAAAGTTTACAAACACCGATCACTATTTTCACATGGACCCCAACAAGATAGTCTGTATTTATCAACATGGTTCAGTACAGTTGCTAATGTCTTCATTGATAGATATCATGTCTTGGTCTAGCCTTCTTTTAGTTTACTTTTATACCAGCAAACGTCGTGCGTCGGGGTGGGCAGCAGATGGTCTTACGCCTAACCTCAACATTCCTGTCAGCTGTTCGTCAATACGTAAAGTACTTCAAAAAGACTTAGAATCAAAAACATTTAGCCTATGTATGTCACCTACATTCCTAAACTAAATTGCACCCATATGAAGTAGGACAGAGAACTGACAATCAGAGAAGTCTTTTATTTAAATATAGACAACCCGCCTATGTCACAAGTTGGCAAAAGCCAAACGAGCTTTTTGAATCCGTGACGAAATTCAGTCGGACACCAACCCACTAGGGCTGATGAGACTACTAGGATAAGTGAAGTAGATACCCTTAAATACTTCACCCCGTATTTTTAGTACAGGGGTTGACACAGAACAACGCTGAGGTAAAATATCGCTATTTGAGGAGAAATATTTGCCAAATTTGTTTACATTACCACTCACGGCGATCAGAAGCCTTAGTTTGGCGACAGTTTTCATTAAACATAGCTATATGGTCTGTGAATGTTAAGTCAAAAAGTGAATCTCCTGGTACTAGCTAAATTTCTGAGAAATCAGATGAGAGTACTAACTATAAAAACATATCAAGTTAAATAGGAATGAGAAAATAAAATAATGTTAATGAATACCACATGGAGTTGCAAATTCTGATTTCATATTGATTAAATTAACAGTCTAAAATTTAATATTCAGAATTATTTTTCAACTTTTTTCAAACTAAATCAGAGAGAACAGACAAGCCTTGTAATAAAAAGCGTGAATGCCACAAACTGAGTGGAAAAATAGTTTAAAAACTGTCGTAATGTAAACGTTATGATCTTGGGAAAAATTACGGTAGTATTTTAATCACAGGTAGCTGAACTTTTGGGTGACATTGATGATACATTCAAGATAGAACAGTATTAAGGTGAGAAGTTCAGACTTATGAAGAATTCGAAACTCAAGAAACACGGATAGATCACCCATGTACTATGCTTCAAGTCATATCCACTATAAATGAACAGATGACAAGGTTTGAATACTCAAGAAAATACATTCTTACGCTAAAAATTAACAAAATAGTAGTCCACATGGGGAAAGTGACCTTTGACGATTGGAGTTTTCTAGTGTTTGCAAAAAACTTAAAATTAACCAAGTAGACACGTGAGACGTAGACAAGAGAGACAAAAAGGACCAAAGACTATAAAGTGTGTTGTATTAGCTATTAACTATCATTCGCATTCCAAAACAAACTAGTGATCAAGGTTAACCAACTGATTTGCTGATTGGTAAACTAAGAGCTCGTGTTCGACATTAGTTCACATTGAAAATAAGCTTAGTACCATGTCTTTTGTGCTACATAAATATAAAGATACACAAAGATTTGTATGACCGATTTAACCAAATATCAATGAGTTGCAATACTCATTGAACTTCACAACCAGTATGCTAAACTAGAACTTGACGAAATAGGAACCATCATTGAAGTTGCAATTTTGTGAAGAAAATTAGCACGTGTGTATGTGAACGCTAGGGTATCCTACCAAATAAGGACACTTTACTTGTTTGTAAGGTTGGACAACTAAACTAACAAGTTTCTACCATAATAAAGTAAAGAAATATGTTGAAGCCTTACTTTTGTAGGAAGTTATCTGTAAACTCTTTCCAATCGACCTTTCTGTACATTGAAAAATTGTGGTAGACAACCCATGTTAAACCAACAGCACCAAGTATAACCCAAGAAGCAAAAGACCATCCACCAGGAGGGTCAGGCATTTTATTTCGAGAAAATGAAAACCGCAATTCAAACTTTGCTAAAATAAATATTATCTTCATAAATACTTAAAACAGTAATACGAATATTAGATGTTTGATCATTCTTGCTTTCTCCAGGACGCGATGCTTTACCGGAATTCTCCTGAGTACGAAGATAAGAAGGCAACCGAAGTTTGTACGACGAATTTATTAGCTTGTTTGACCTCCATGAGAGTAAGCATGTGAAGTTCTATGAATAAAGAAATAATGTGCACAAAAGAAACAAAATTTCTATTGGATTAATCAATGTTTCGTTATCTTTAAACAAGAAAGAATGGAACTCATTTACAAGATCAGTACTTACAACCACAGACAGAACCTGTAGTATCAGTGTTAACCAAGCTGATCTACTACTAAACCGCAATAAAAGAAATGAAATGCTGACTTGTTATCTTATAGATTGGAATAGAGGAAGTTAGCTTTCAGGGAAAATTAAGAATTTCATTCAATGCAAACGAAGATTACCCTAGTGCTTTTAATTAAACGCTTATTTCAATTCATTTCTTATCAAGCCATTCTTCGCATTTCTAGTTTGAACACTTAGGCTAAAAATTACCCAATATATAAATAAGAGAAATAAGACGAAAATGAAACAGGGAATGCTGGATAAACATTGCGTTGTAACTCGTGACTCTACTGTATCGAAATATTTTATGACTATGAACTCAGGGGAAAAACTCAACCAGTCAGCTACGACGTATGACCAGGCACATATATGCATCGGTTTAAGTTGCCATATTTTATTAGCACAACATGGTGAACACAAAACCATAGAAGCAATAACTTCAATGGTAGCAAAAAAACATTCGCATCGATGCACAGTAAGTTATATCTTGAATTGCCTACTTGGGTTCCTGTTAGAACTTCCATTATGACCCAGATACCCTTATTGCGCAACAGAATTTGAACATGATCTCACTTGACTGGTCCTGAAAATCATGACACGACTTGGACATATACGCCAATGAAATCCAAATAAACCAAGTTGAGTGATACAGTAATAAAAATGTTAGTGTATTTAGAATTTTATACAAGATGCCGGGGTGTTCTCCAGTTATCTGTTAGCGCTGATTGGCTGAGAATGGGCCAATTAGGATTCCCCAAAATAATGATACTCACGGAACACGCTGTAGACAAGTTGTGCTAACAGCTCCTAAGACCTAGGCAGATTTAAGTCTCAGATATTATGAAAACGGAACTAACGTGCAGCCAAGTAATAAGTTGACGAGTTAAAGTTTTTTTCCATATCCGATGAACTCTTAGTCAGAAGTTATATTCAGTTGTAATCTAGAACAAACAATAGCTTTACAACTGATTACTAATGACGAAACAAGCAATTACTACGCAAGGGGTTTGTCGGAGTAGTAGGAATCCTAAACGAAGAGACATGGTGAGCGTTAGGTATGTGTTCGCACAATTCGATTACTTAACATGAACTTATAGTTAGTATAAAATTCCGATACGATTCGGGTAAAGTTATTGTAATCAAAAATCAATTGTTGACACTCTTGTGCATCTCATTGTTAGCCTGGAGTTGCGCAAACATCGTTGTACATATTACCACTTGGACATGTTCCACATAGACTACTGAGCTCTCTGTACCCGGAAGAAACAGATATCATTTACTCCTCGTTTGATGTCACATGAGTTCCCCAGTGAATTCGGAGGCTCGTAAACGGTCAGAGTTTCTCTCATACAAACAATGCGATCTTATACAATTTAAAAAGTTAGCTAACGAAGCTTGAAGATATAGACTAATCAAACGACTTATATCTTTCAAAAAATGAATGAATCGAATGAACAGCGACGAGGATTCTAGTAATTTCACGCCTAAGCTTTCTGAAATGGATTACATTGCTCAGAAAAATTCTTAAAATGGACGTAAATTAGTAGAAGCCTTCGATTAGCAACCAGAAATTAAAGTTTCGGCGAACAGCAATGCGCTTCCATGTTGACTGTATGTGTAAACACTGAAGTTTCACCCAACAGACACTAGTGAGGTTAATGGCGTATCTCAGGGGATTGCGAATTATATTCAGTAGAAATAGTATCTGCAAATCAAAGTGTTACTAGAGGGTTGGAATTTATTTTGACCGCAATACATCCAATGTAAAAGCAAAAGTCAAATGTAGCAATATTATCGAGTTTTATCGAAAAAGTACAAATCACCTTGGAACGCCACCACAAAGGGGCAAACCTAATCATCAGACGAGCGACCTTGGAAATCGAAAACTAGCTGGAGCATGTTAAAACGAGACACAATCAAAAACAATATATTTTATTTGTGATAACACAGTGTAAATTGACTGATTATTTCTTTCTTGTTTATTAGTGTTAATACTCTGTTCTTGGTCTTCAATATCATCAGACATAAGAAGTCCATACACTCACTTGCTGTAGTCATGATGAATTGGACAGCTCATCGGTATCACTAAAGAACAGATTAGTGACAGAACGACAGAAGATTTTACCTTGTTCTACTATGTGTGATTTTACCGACATATCATTTTCATTTAATTAGTGGCAGCCACTAGATAAACGTTCAGGAATCTGATCAATGGTTTGATTGATTGGGAGAATAGTCAATGTGGATCCCTGCCATTTCTGAGATCCTGAAGTCCTCGTGACAAATACCTTTATGACTTAAGCTCCTTGTATTCTTCGCTTTCTTTGGGATATAAACCAGTAAAGGTATATCAGGTCGGTATTTCTTTTATGTTAAAAGCAATCATGAAGTGCTTGCTATCGTTTTGCACTTTTTCACTTTATTGTTCTCATAGCGTCAAGTAAGAATTATGGTTAAGTTTGTTTCAGGAGGTTTCCACTGACGCAAAACTTCTTTTGAGCAGTTCAGGCTCTCTATACTTTGTCTAAACGGCCATGTTTGTTTGTTTCTTCGTTTTCGTTTATTCAAGAAACATACGCGAATAATTAATGAATGATTGCCATCGCAGGCTTTCAGTGGTTGTCGACTGAAGCCTTCCACTAATCACACGGCCACAGAGAATACTGGTGACACTCTATAACAGACGAGTAGTTTATCCGAAATTAGCGAGTATATTCACATCTGCCCTGTATTATTGACCGTACTTCCTGGTAAAAATTAAGATACGCGACGAGAGTAAAGCTCAATTCCCATCACAAATATAGCGATAAAATCTTTTCTAAGGATATCTGATCAAATATCAGATGTATCATTAATAATATAACCTGTAACATCTGTGTTTGTGTGCAATGTTACATGTGCCATAAAGTGATATATTTCTCTAATCAAAAGTTTTATGTCGTTTTCACTGAATCTGCCCTCTCAATGTTCTTGCCTTCTAGCTACATACGTAGAAGACTTCATTTAATGGGCATTCATACGCGAGCTTGATGGTTGATAGTGGTCGTTTCCTGGAGCGTGTTCCTATTGCTATACCATTTTTATCCCGTAAAGACGATGACCCTCAACATTTAGCAAAACGAAGAAGGGATCGCAGTGAACGATATTCAGTCCCACGCCCACACCAGTGATAATAGTGGAGACAATAAAGATCAGTACAATGAGAGGCTGCAATCGGTCGTAGATAAGTGCCCAGAAAAGGACCTGACCATCCTTATAAGAGAACTAAACGCCAAGACCGGAATGGACAACATCGAGTATGAAGATATCATGGGACAACATGGACTGAAGGAAAGGAACAAGAATAGCGAGAGATTTGCAAATTTACGTGCATTCAACAAAATAGCTATAGGATGCACTACATTCCCCCACAAACGCATACACAAAGCTACATGTGTCTCTGCAGATCACACTAAATAGTACGAGGTCGATCATATTGCATCACGAAAAAATTCAGAAGACCCGTGAAAGTCATGAGAACATAAATATAAGCTGGCTTAGGTTCATATAAGTATCTGCTGGTTGCCAAAATTAAACTGAAGCTAAAGAAGAACTGGACAACTGGAGAAACAGCACTACAAAGGTTTAGTAAAACCTTCCTTTGAGATACTAACAAACTCAACGAATTCATGATAGCTCTCAGCAACAGGTTCCAAGCTTTACAAGATCTACACAAAGAAAAAGAAACTACTGTGGAGGACAACTGGAGAGGGATTAAAGAAACAATAATCTCGACGTGCTAGGAGGTTCAGGGCCACAGGAAGCATCATCATAAGGAATGGATCTCCATCGAACCCTGAGTAGCATTCAAGAAAAGAATGACAAGACAACAATAAACATCAGCCGAACAAGAACAGAGAAAGTCAAGGCACAAGCTGAACACACAGAAGCAAACAAGCAAGTGAAGAGAAGCATTAGGGCTGGCAAGCAGAAACACATGGAAGACCTAGCAATAACAGCGGAAAACGCTGAAAGAGAAGGAGATATGAGACGTGAATCACCTGGTAAGATCACTACTATACAGAACTCTTACGAAGGACCGCATTGCAAAGCTGTGAATGAACAGCAGCCCACATATTCACTTTAAGTAAAAACCGGTGTCAAACAAAGCTGTTTATTCCCCATTGACCAGAGGCCATCAGTAATAATGTACTGTGGCAAAGAACAAATATGCTTGGAGGAAAAGGAAAAATTAACATCGAAGTTACATTATACGACTGTTAGCTATCTCCAACGTTGAAAAAGTCGTGATTTAGTTAATCGTGTTCCTCGCCTAGTTGGATGTTAAAGCTAGTATTTGACAACTCTTACCGCAACTATCTTCTCGATAGACCGGGAATTAAGATGATTTATCAATACGAGGAAAGTGATCAGACTTTATGTCAAAGCTTGTCAAAAAACATGAAGCTGTGGTAGTATTCGAGTCCTGTTTTGTTTTCCGAAGTCAGAGCAATGTAATATCGCTGGCTCCTATAAGATACTTCATGAATTTGTATGTGAATGCTTGGTCGAATCCAAGTCACTGACAAACGAAACCACCCAGCTGTCACAGGGAGACGAGATATAACTCAATTGTGGGAGTTCATCGTCAAGTACTTATAAAACTGAACCACGGGTTCAGTTATTTTTTATGACGAACTGTGAAAATTAGGGAGCTTAGAACAGTGATCAAATTTTAAATTACCTTGAAATAAATATTTGGTTTGTTTTTATTCAATCGAATACCCACAGCTTCTAGTTCGTTTTCAAGTAACTTTCTGAAATCGAATTTAGAAAATAAACCCCTTTAGTGAAAACATGAGATGGGTTCTGAAGAAAACTAAGTATGAATTGATAACTTACGGTTGGTTTATACTACCAACCTATTTGAAACGGCAACTAGTGAATTTAAAGGTGACGGGTCTCTACTTGAGAAACAACAGTTTAAGCAGAGTGGTTATAATGGAAATTCAGATGAGACTTTTCTGTGCTGAACAACATACTCTCCCGATTTGTGATGAAATTTAGAAAATCTTCACTAAAAGCTGTGAACAACTAGGTAGCACCATCGATGAGTAAGGAGGGTTTGATGCTGACATGCAGGCGAAGATCGGCAAAGCAAGGACTGCATGCTCACAGTTGAACTACGTATGAAACTCAAAACAATTGTCAACCAATATCATAGTCAGAATCTTCAATACGAACGTCAAGACAGTTAGTTATATTGTACGGAGCTGAAACTTGCAGAACTACCACAACCATCATGAAAGAGATACAAGTATTCATAAACGATTGTATACGTAAGATACTGAATGCCCATTGCCGGATACCATCAGCAACAACCTACTATGGGAGAGAACAAACCAGCTTCCAACTGAATAGGACACACATTGAAGAAATCATCAAACCGCATCAGGAGGCAGGCGCTTACTTGGAATCCTGAATGGAAACAGAAAAACGAAAGACTAAAGGAACACACTGCGTTGAGAATAGGAAGCAGACATGAATAGCATGACACAAACCTAGTAGAAAGGAACAGTGAACACGTGGAAGTTAAAACTTTGCGGAAAGCTTTTAATGAAAATAAGGATCAGCACTCTCAGAAAATCCCAAATCAAATGAAACCCAAGACGTGTTGTTGGCGATGCGGTAAGCGTCATTCGGCTAATGTTTGCTATTTTAAGAAAAGTTTGTTTCCTTTGTGGTAAATATGGTCATGCACAAGTATGTTGTAAAAATGGGGGAAAGATTGCCAACCATCAGTATAAGTTTCTTAAAGGAAATAAGACGCAGACATCAAAAGAGATCACACGTAATTCGAATGTTGTTCTGGCCACAAAAGGTGCCCAATTCTCGTCTAAGAGGAAGTACGTAACTGTTTTTCCATGGTAAACCTGTTAAGCTGCAAATCGATACGGGGTCTGACATAAGACTAATTTCCAGAGAGACTTGGATAACACTTGGTCGACCTCGATATCACCCTACATATTATAACGCTAAGAGTGCGACAGGAACTAACATTAGTCTTCTTGGAGAAATACAGCCATCTCTCACATCGGGTGACAAGACTATAACCGGAACATGTTATGTATCTGGAATCTGTCATACCAACTTATTAGGTATTGACTGGATAGTTAATTTTGTTTTATGGGACCTGCCGTTGAGCACTGTCTGCAATATGGTTAAATCACCAGCGAAACAATATTTGGCCGACCAATTAGGACACTTTTTGGTGTTTTGAATCCGAAAGACAGATTGAGTGGACCACAAAGAAATAAGGAAGAGGATCGCCCGAAGGTTCGAGAATTTAATGCAGGTGACTTAGTCTATACACGTGGCGAGTCAAAATGGATATTTGGATGTATTATAAAAAGACGTGGGACGGTATTGTATGAAGTAATGGTTGAAAATACACTAATTATTGGATACATCAATCAACTGCGAGATAGGAAAAATATTTATGAGTCATCTAAACCCAAAACGTTACCAATGGAAGTATTATGTGATACATTTAATATCCCACCTCCACCACAAGTTGAAAGGAGAAAGAAAGAATTGAAATCAGAAGTTAGCCGAAGATCATCAAGGGAACGAGATTTTCTCAAATAGACCCTAAAGTGAAGTCATACGACCAAACATAGCGAGGGAGGTGGTGTGTGGGCGAGTGTGATTGGTTGTCTGCTTAGTCAGACATGTAGATAGTCTGACAGGTGTCAGATGAGTTATATATTCCCCTATTCTTATGACAATTATCATTGATTGTTCATTGTCGTTGGATTGTGTCGGGTTTTGATGTGGAAATGTATTTACGTTAAGGTCGGGCTAATCACGTGTTCTTGATCTGAGTTGTGTTGAAGTCCTGTGGAATAGACACTGAGGGAATCTAGTGTAGATATTCGTCTAAGGTAAATTAACGTTCCATACGTGTGAAGGTTGGGAAATCAACCGTTATAATAGGAACCGAGACATACTTCTTGTGCTAAGTTTCCATAAGCCTGTGTCTTTGGTCGTCAAGGAGATGACTTGTAACCAGTTTGATCGCTCTTACGTCGGTTATTATTTGCATGCGCAATATCTAGTCGGACCTTAACCACCGTACTAAAAACATCTGTCGAGCTTCCTCAGACTACTTGAATCGACTAGACGAAGTTCACAGGACGCTATCTGGATTTTAGTCTTTTTATTAATATCAAGACGTTGCATTTTTTTAAAATAATGGACAATAGGGTAAACTAGGAGTGGCTATTCATTCCGGAAATTTTGAAGGCAGTGATACTTGGCAGCTTGACGTAATGGTTTCGCAGTCAATCTAGCTAATGTTCCGAAATTTATTAGATAATCTATAGGGTCACCATAAATTTGTTGGCAACAAAACGCAAGATTGGACAATGCCATTAACTTCACGACAGTGACAATCATTTTGACGCATCACACAAATAATAGTCTGTTAGTAGACTAACAGATTGATACTCGATTATTGAGAATAAGTTTATGTAACTGGTAAGACAGTAGTGAACATGACAGTGGTAAATGCTATATACTTTCACATACGATATCAGGAAATCAAGAAATTCTACACGGCCGAATCCGAACAGTTCTAGATTAAACTAGTTTGCCATGCCAGTTCATAATAAACAATCACAATACTCTATCAAGTCAACTACCTATGGTCAGCTAGAAATATCTTTAGCATTAGTGGAATTTACTCGTTGATACTAAAGTAGTACGTCGTCAAATGGAGTAGTTTTCTACGAACGAACATGAAAGTACTTAACTAGGCCTATAAAAACAGGCCATCATACTGAGTTTGAACTAAATATAAACGCATAGGGAAATATGGAGGAATTGATTTGACTTGATTAATCATCATCACTTTGTAATCTAAAACTGATTTAAACATTATATATGTGTACTTCAAATTGTGCAAGAACAACAACAGTTGGACTGTGACTCACCATTCATAGGAAGAGTAAACCGATGAGATAATATGAAGTATCATTCCACTGAAAGAAAGACACACCTAATGTTTTTTTCACGATTTTTATTTGCGGTTCTCGAGAAACTGTTGCTAATTCGGCTAATAACCACAGTAATTAAGATCGAGAGGTTGACCAGATATGAAAACAAAATCAAGTCCCATTTGATGGTTAGAAATTATTACAAGCATAGCAAGTTGCCGTTGAATTTAGACATTAATTTGGTAGCTTATGCCATATAAACTGAGTAACTTAACAAACACCAAATGCGCACCAACTGGCTTAAGTGATATACTGTAGTGATGTTAGCTAGACAACTTTCAAATAAACAATCAAAGAAGTATCACTAAACAACATGTTGAGAATAACGGAATCTAGACCTGTTTTAGAAGCAAAATATATGTAAATGTTCTGTAAAAAGTTTACAGAGTATTGGTCCTTATAAACTAGCTTGACTTGAAGTTATGGATTAGTTTTCGTTCTATGTATAGACAGTGAAGGAAAAAAAGCAACTTATAGGTTGTGAACAACTTAAACGATTATAAACCGAGAGATATCCGAACTTATGAACTACAATGTAACTGGTAAGATTTATTCAATACAGAAATAGGTCAATGTCGTCCATCCAAAGTGTTCCCTCTTATGATAACAGTAAAACTACATAGCATCCAAAAATTCAATATATTCATCAATAAAGAAAGACATGGAGAATTCAATTTGCAATAACATACTGAAATATTAATCCACTGAATCATTATTTCTTTACAATTTGCACAACATCGTGATGATGTAAGACGTGATTCAATCCAACATGTTGTGGACTGAATTTAACACTTGTTCCCTTAAAAATGTAAAGAGGAAAAAAATTAGTTTAACGGAGTGATGTACTTTTTTATATAAGCTTTTTTTATATCAACTTTAGTTTTCTTTGCTTACGAATTTGTCCGGTTCATCGAAGTGTTAAATCTACAGTTTGTCTCTAGATATAGTCAACAAATTACCATGCATAGTGATGCATTAAGCCTTTCCTTAGATTCTAAATAATTAATTATTTTATTCAGGTATTTCGTTTTCATTATCATCGGTTTTACGTGTTTGGAGTGAAACTCTTCAGTACAGTTCATGTTATTTTATTTGAAAGAAACAAATATTTACAGGTTGAGCTACAAACATTTTCAAAAAACTTTAAGACAATTTAGGCTTCTTAAATTTCGGCTATTATATACCATTGAAAATAGATGACTAATAAAAAATTGGTTTTTTATGACAAATAAAATATGTGAATTTATCCACTCAATAAATGACAAAGTAAACACTGGAATTTCGACTATTCTTACCCACACAAGAGCACATTTACACTGTGATGCTAAAGATCTGTGAATTGAATGGCACTAGATGAAAAAGAGAAAAAGATCGTAGGATGAAGAAAAATTTATGATGAACTGCTTATGAAAACAATTAAATTGAACACACTCCGCAACAAAATATGAAAAGGTTTAATGTATATTATTATTTTTCACACTAACCAGTTAGAGTAAGAAGGGATTGGGACAAATGTGGTTTAGTTCATGTGACTACACTTCAAAACAAAACATTGACAAAGGGAATTTCAGTCAGCTACAACGTAGGACCAGGCACATATGTGCATCGGTCCAGGTTGCCATACCGCATCAGCACAACAAGATGAACACCGGATTCATAGCAGTGGTTAGGTCAAAGATAGTAATATATAAGAGAAAGATTGCATATAGAGATATAGTACAAGAAGAAAGAATTGGTTCGTAGAACGAAAGATATGGAGCGATTTTAATCTCTTATTTTAAGGGAAGACAGGTAGTGTATACACCGACGCCATTGTGACCGATTCTGAGCCATGTCACCCAGACTCTCCAACCATTGGTTACGATAGTCACGCGGCCCCCAACCAAGTAGTCTGCATCTACCGACATGACTCAGACTAGAAGTTAGTGACTTCAGGCACTGATGCCACGTTTTGGTTTGGCCGCCCCTAATTTTCTTCCAACCATCTCCAATACCGGATAGCATTGCACGTCGTGGTAATCGGTGTTCAGGCATACGTAGCACGTGGCCCAACCATCTCAGTCGATGAAGATTCATAACCTCATCAACTGATTTACCATCATTCCCTAATACCCTGCGTCTAATCTCACTATTACTTAACCGGTTATCCCAGCAGATGCCAGCAATATTTCTAAGGCATCTGTGGTCAAATACTAATAGCTTACGAGTGTCTTCTACTCTTAATGGCCATGTTTCGCTGCCGTAAATTAAAACAGAACGGACTGCCGCGCAGTATACTCGTCCTTTTATTGATAGACGGATATCTCGCCTTCGCCATAGGTGACGCAAGTTGGCAAAAGCCAATCGAGCTTTCCGAATCCGTGCTGAGATTTCGTCCGATACCAACCCATTAGGGCTGATCAGACTTCCAAGATAAGTGAAGTTGTCGACGCGTTCGACTACTTCACTCCCTATCCTCAGTTCAGGTGTTGACGCAGACCAGTCGTGAAGCAACAACTTGCATTTAGAGGGAGAGAAGCGCATTCCAAACATCCTGGCATTGTTGCTCAGTGCTACCAGAAGACTCTGCATTTTGTCAGCGTCTTCACCAAACAGGACTATGTCATCTGCGTATTCTAAGTCGATTAGTGGATCTCCTGGTAGGAGGTCAATACCCGAGAACTCAGTCGACGAGAAAGTTATTTTCATCAATAGATCTATGATGAAGTTAAACAAAAATGGGGAAAGTGGACAGCCTTGACGGACACCACTTGAGGTTGCGAAAGTAGATGACAGTTCGCCATAAGCTCTGACTCGACTAGCAGTGTTCGAGTAAAGAGCCTTTACAAGGTTTATGTACTTCTGGGGTACGCCTTTCAATGACAGACACTGCCACAGAATCTCGCGGTCTACCGAGTCAAATTTACAAGATGAAAACCAAAAGAGCGGAACCAATCATATTAATTGCGTTGGAAAACTAAACATTAAAATCTAGTTTAAAAGGGACTGAGATAGAGGAATGAAGATTTACTTACAGTGGTAAGTTCAAAGGTTAAAGATTAATGTGCCTAATTTCAAAATATAGATGACGACTTTTAGGTGGACCCCAATTAAGAAGTCTACATCTTGCAACTCAACTGAAACAAAAGGTCAGTGTCTTTATAAACAGGTCTTTAAAATTATTTATACACCGGTTAGAATGGTGCATCGATGTAGGTAGTGACCAGATATGTATAAAAAATGAAACAGCCATCTAATGACATGAGAGCTTATGGTTTCAACAATAAACTACTATTTGCTATTGTGTCCTGAGTCTAACTTTGACAATACTTATACTTGCTCTTTAATGCAACCATATGCGAATAAACTTTTAAGGCACCTACGACTAAACACTTGCAACCTACGTATGTGTTCAAAATTTACATTTATGTTTTGTAGACGTTGAGTAATACAGTGAGAACAACTGATTACCATACAAGCTTTCAGATATGGGAACACTTAACAAGTTATTGCATCTATATATGTATTTCATTAGCATATAATTCTTCAGGAATGATGAGACTTACAGAATAAATGAAGTGAACAAGACTCATAAACTGTTACCTCCTATGGTATTCACTACAACTAATAAGCCTATACTCTTATTGGAATGTAGGTATTTGAAAGAGTTGGCTTGATTTGTCAGAAAAATATGATGGATGATTGGGCTCAATAATATTTGGTTATACTTTAAGTGTAAGTCGTTGCATTATAACCAAAATTAGACATTTGAATGCTAGACAGTCCCACTGAGTCGAAAAAACTGTCAAATGCCAAAGTTTAGTGATTTATCAGATATAACATTCAACGAACATTAATCACGAAGATCTCTGGAGCATATCAAAAGACTCTAAAAGTAACTTCACCACCAGTTTTAACAGGAAACAATACAATGAAACTTACAATGTGTTCAACTGTTGAACCGTTTCGTAAAATAATTCCTTCATCAAGATCTGGTTTTTCTAATGAATTAAATTAAGTGAAGTCAGAAATCATTAATTAATTCTTACGTCCACGTTTTTTAGTGAATACTTGAATTAAATTTAAATAGTCCCAAAGTTTTTCTAGCAGGTAATCCAAATTCAGTTTTAGATTGCAACTGGGTAAAAAAAGAAAGTAATGTAGTAATGTATTTGGTAACAGAAATACATTGTACATATGCATGAACACAACTGTTCTATAATATATATAGTATTAAACTCTTATGTTATATGCTTAGCGAAGGTTGGTAAAATCAAAGGGCTGAAAAATCTTTATATGGGTCGTCTCAAAAGTACTGCTTAATAAGCGGTAAAACATCAAGCAGAAGTTTTGGATGAGTATTTTTATCTATGAAACTGAACTTGTGAAAACTGAAGTGGTTAGAAGCATAAATGATCAATATATGTGTTGCCATGCGATGACAGTTGGGGTAGATGTGAGGTGAAGCAAGTTCCTAAAGTGACTAAACTAAGAAACTAACAACTCACATGAGCTAGGCGAGGAACTTCAACTATCCTAGGTTATTATTAGTTATATGTTTTTAAACCATATATAAAATAAGCATTTATTAAATTTTATGCAGTCTAAACAAGCAAGCAGCAGATTCACGATCGTTACTCAACAATAAGAGATAGACAGGACACTTTATTGATATATAAAGGTGAAAAACAAGTGAACAGTAAAGATGGATAGTGGCCAGCAGCGGAATCCAGGACGCGCGTATCGTGCTATTTGGGACTCGTCAGTTGGATGTACGTGCATCGCAGAGTTGATGTTTACTCCAGTACTCGAACCCCGTACCGTTCGCTTCAAACGCCATCGCGTTATCCACTTAGCTACTGAGTCCTGATAGCCACCTGCTTGTGCAATGGGGTGAAGTTTAAATTCACTTGGTGTTGTTTTCCTCGTATCTTCCTATTGTTATTTAGGACTGCACTATCCATCTCTGCTTAAAAAGCATGTGACTTAAGGCTATATCGAAGTAATCCGCACAAGATACGCATATGCCAACATGAGACTTATCAACCGCAGTCCTAAATAACAATGGGAAGATACAAGTAAAACAACACCAAGTGAAATGAACAGTAACTTTACCGTAAATTTCACAAACCAACTAGAACAGTATGAGATCAAATATACTACTAAAACAGATCGAGCTGCCCCATTAAAAGATAGCAGGGAAACTCTGGAGAAAAATAATACGAAGTATTAACTCGTGCATAAGCAACAATTCTTAAAAGAAGGTTTGAACTAACCTAACAACAACTGAATGAGGCTGTCTTGCTAATCTGTCAACTTCTTGAAGTGATATTTGGTCAATTTTATTATACACCTAAATACAGAATTTTTTAAGAAATGAAACCGAAATACGTAAAGACAAGCCAGATATACTCGACCGCCAACTACTACATCAATAAATTCATCCGGTGTAGAATCTTCTCGAAAGATGACTTCTGCATTAAATATTTCTACATAATGGGCAACACGAAGTTGAGGTGAACAGAAATACAAAAAACGGATCATACTAGATATTTATGTGGATCGTAAATGTAATATACAACTTAATTTTCCTTAATGACTTTGATTATGATTGGAGACCTGCTCGAACATTTGGGTTACCTATTTTCTAAATGTCCGAATACCACAATAAGCCTTCCTGTTTTAAACTTACTTGAACTGAATAATCATGAACTCTGTGTTTATTCTACATTTTAGATGAGCGAACTTGAAGTTGTTCAAGGCAAATTATTTATGAGGTAATGTTCTCATGATAGATCTATATATGATGAGCTAGTGGATACTATAGGTATTCTAAATTGAAGTACAAAGCTAAGAGTGTCTTAATTAATCTGACAATGTTGCCAAATAAAATTCTAATTCATTTGGGAGTTACTTAGGTAATTCAAATTTTTCATAAAAAAGGAGAGATGTTCTCGCAGTTATTGAATTCATTTTACAGACCAAATAGTGTCACATTGCAAACGACCAGAAAAAGTCGTACAGCTATGAGAAAAATTATTAATTTTGTGACTCCTTTCGCCATGGATGTGGAAGGGATATACAACACAACTTGTTCCTAATTAAAACTGTTTAACAATACAATTTTATATATTAGCGGTTATATACTGAAGTCAAAAGAAGTAAAAAAGTGAAAATATTGACTAAAAAAGGATACTATATTCCTGCAGTATCATTTGAGTCATTTTCTCGTTTATCTTTGTTAAGGGAACCATTGATGTGATTTTTAATCCACCTGTCTTCTTTTGCTAGATAGTACAAGTAAATAACACGATCCATATCAGCATGGCATAACAATAAAGACACAGACAACTGGAGAGAAATGAACCCATGAAAACACTAAAATTTAATTTATTTCAGACAACGAATATACTGAATACAATATTATATACCAATTTTTGGTAGTTGATACTTAAAAACTTGCTTCACTTTTGACGTAGACAAGAGGTTTGTCTCTTTATCAGCAGGCGTGTATACTGTGCAACAGTCTGCTCTGTCCTGCCTTATAGGTGTGAAACGTGGTCTATGAAAGTAAAATAAATGGGTAGGCTAAATGTTTCTAATGACAGGTGTCCTTGAAATTTTGTCCCAGTTTCCTGGAATGGTCGCGTGAGCACTATTGAGGTTAGGCATGAGGTATGTGACAAAGGTATCGAGTCTTTGTCAACTGAGGTGATTGATATACGTATTACGCATATCTAACCATCGTCTAATTTCAAGAGCAATGCTTGCATGTTCAGTATGCTGGAAGAGAGCTAGCGCTAGCCAAACTGAAAGGTTGTATCAGACGATGAATACATCGATATTTGGTCGAAATTACTTAAAAAGGTGGAGACTACTAGCTAGGTTTACATGACAACTGAGACAAGAGGTTGAAGGCCATGGGAAACATAAGTCAAAATCGCATACAGAAGTCCAGATATATTGACTCATTTACTTTCGTTTAACTTTAAATTCCAATATCCTTTTATACATACCTCCCCACTTCTTTAGAAATGATATCCTTACGGTCTGATTTTTCATACTATTGTTTCCAAGACATTATGTCGCTTTCTTCTGCCATTTTTTATCTGACTGTGATACCTAGATGTAAAGACTTGGCCCAACGCACGTCTGCGTCCGGCTTAATATTCATGTCAGTCCGATCAATGTTCAACGTACACCTAGTGCAAAGGATCCAAGTGATAACCAGGGTTTTACTTTGAGTCACCGATCAGCAGTAATTCTTAAGCCATAATCAAATATGATGGTGAGAAATCATTTGACAAAGATACATCTCACTAAGAAAGTAATCTATAAAATGCAAACGACATGTCACTTAATGTTAGTTATTTGTTGACTAACGAAGGCTTCTATGATGGACCTTTCTATGAATTGAAGCTTATCAGAGGGATGTAGTTGAACACCGGTCAGTATTAGTGTTCTCAATACAAATCCAGTTCAGCGACTACTCCCTTAGACGATAACCATTCGGATAATGAGATACAAATATTAAATTCACGGTCGTTTAAACGATCGCAGATTTTCAGTATGTAAGCATTATGAACCTAAATGTTATTGAACAGGACAGCTCAATCTGTCAGACATGACTCCAAAGAATATTCGTTTAGTCTTTTTCATTTTGTCCTAATATTTGAACAAATTTCAAACTCCGCCTGGAGTCTTCTGATGATGACAACTGGTCTCGATCCCGGGTAAAAAAGGATAGTTGAACATAAGGTTAGAAACCACATAGAGTAGAAGAGAACCTAGCTAAACAATGACGACCAGAAAAGATCATTTAAACTGTACTGGGAATGGAAAACCATTTAGTAAGAGTTGTGGAATCTCATGGTGAAAGCTGAGGTTCTTCGGAAATCATAAGGCCGGTGTTTTTGTACTCTCATCATGAGGAGGAAAATGTCCCCTCTTCATACAAACAAGGAGATCTGGTGAAACTGTCCAGAGAAGCAAAGAAGCGCCTACAAAATGAGAATCTCATGGATCCGGGATCATTAAAACATCCTTGAAAACGAAGGGATTACAGTGAACGATATTCAGTCCCACGCCCACACCAGTGATAATAGTGGAGACAATAAAGATCAGTACAATGAGAGGCTGCAATCGGTCGTAGATAAGTGCCCAGAAAAGGACCTGACCATCCTTATAAGAGAACTAAACGCCAAGACCGGAATGGACAACATCGAGTATGAAGATATCATGGGACAACATGGACTGAAGGAAAGGAACAAGAATAGCGAGAGATTTGCAAATTTACGTGCATTCAACAAAATAGCTATAGGATGCACTACATTCCCCCACAAACGCATACACAAAGCTACATGTGTCTCTGCAGATCACACTAAATAGTACGAGGTCGATCATATTGCATCACGAAAAAATTCAGAAGACCCGTGAAAGTCATGAGAACATAAATATAAGCTGGCTTAGGTTCATATAAGTATCTGCTGGTTGCCAAAATTAAACTGAAGCTAAAGAAGAACTGGACAACTGGAGAAACAGCACTACAAAGGTTTAGTAAAACCTTCCTTTGAGATACTAACAAACTCAACGAATTCATGATAGCTCTCAGCAACAGGTTCCAAGCTTTACAAGATCTACACAAAGAAAAAGAAACTACTGTGGAGGACAACTGGAGAGGGATTAAAGAAACAATAATCTCGACGTGCTAGGAGGTTCAGGGCCACAGGAAGCATCATCATAAGGAATGGATCTCCATCGAACCCTGAGTAGCATTCAAGAAAAGAATGACAAGACAACAATAAACATCAGCCGAACAAGAACAGAGAAAGTCAAGGCACAAGCTGAACACACAGAAGCAAACAAGCAAGTGAAGAGAAGCATTAGGGCTGGCAAGCAGAAACACATGGAAGACCTAGCAATAACAGCGGAAAACGCTGAAAGAGAAGGAGATATGAGACGTGAATCACCTGGTAAGATCACTACTATACAGAACTCTTACGAAGGACCGCATTGCAAAGCTGTGAATGAACAGCAGCCCACATATTCACTTTAAGTAAAAACCGGTGTCAAACAAAGCTGTTTATTCCCCATTGACCAGAGGCCATCAGTAATAATGTACTGTGGCAAAGAACAAATATGCTTGGAGGAAAAGGAAAAATTAACATCGAAGTTACATTATACGACTGTTAGCTATCTCCAACGTTGAAAAAGTCGTGATTTAGTTAATCGTGTTCCTCGCCTAGTTGGATGTTAAAGCTAGTATTTGACAACTCTTACCGCAACTATCTTCTCGATAGACCGGGAATTAAGATGATTTATCAATACGAGGAAAGTGATCAGACTTTATGTCAAAGCTTGTCAAAAAACATGAAGCTGTGGTAGTATTCGAGTCCTGTTTTGTTTTCCGAAGTCAGAGCAATGTAATATCGCTGGCTCCTATAAGATACTTCATAAATTTGTATGTGAATGCTTGGTCGAATCCAAGTCACTGACAAACGAAACCACCCAGCTGTCACAGGGAGACGAGATATAACTCAATTGTGGGAGTTCATCGTCAAGTACTTATAAAACTGAACCACGGGTTCAGTTATTTTTTATGACGAACTGTGAAAATTAGGGAGCTTAGAACAGTGATCAAATTTTAAATTACCTTGAAATAAATATTTGGTTTGTTTTTATTCAATCGAATACCCACAGCTTCTAGTTCGTTTTCAAGTAACTTTCTGAAATCGAATTTAGAAAATAAACCCCTTTAGTGAAAACATGAGATGGGTTCTGAAGAAAACTAAGTATGAATTGATAACTTACGGTTGGTTTATACTACCAACCTATTTGAAACGGCAACTAGTGAATTTAAAGGTGACGGGTCTCTACTTGAGAAACAACAGTTTAAGCAGAGTGGTTATAATGGAAATTCAGATGAGACTTTTCTGTGCTGAACAACATACTCTCCCGATTTGTGATGAAATTTAGAAAATCTCCACTAAAAGCTGTGAACAACTACACAGATATGTGGTGCTTACTTGTAGAGTTCGTTGCTATAGACATGTATGATGAGAAAACGACGAGTACTTTGGTTAAGGCCCTCATAAATGTTAGTCAGAATTTTAAGCATTTTGCTAGTTTTCTAGTGCTAAAACCTATCCTGTGTTCTCGTTCACTACACTATGACTGTAATCTCTATTTGGGTAACTTGAAATACTTACCGGTGGACGTCCGGCTTGGTGGCATCAAGCATCATAAGTACGAGGTCAGCCGTTCGGGCAACAGCAATCACCTGGCGCCCCCGCCCTTTTCCTGGAATAAAAGTCATACAAAAGAAGTTCGGATGATGAACTTTCATAGCTAGCGGTACCAATTGTGAATACAAAAATAGATCACCAGATATACGACATGAAGATAAAGGAAACTGAGACCCGTGTAAACGGCCAAAAAAACGAAACATATACGCAGCTAACCTTGTGACGCCCCTTCTATTATTCCTGGAAGATCCAGTAACTGGATGTTAGCGCCTTTATACTTGAAAATGATGTACTATTAATCATGTGAGATACCTCAATAACACCCGGTATGCATGTCAAAGTTGTGAACTCATATGATGCACATTCACTGTGTGTAGAAGTCAAAGAATTTAGGAGAGTGGACTAGAAGAACAAGGAAATCAGCAACTGAATATAAAAATATCAAACCTTCCCGACAGACGGAAAGCCAATTAGTGATACCCGAGCATCGCCTGATTTCATAACATCAAATCCTTCACCCTTACAGAGTAAGCACGATGAATGGACATACCTTGGTAGCTTTGTTTTGTGTCTCCAGTAGTTGAGAACGGTACTTGGCGAGCTTAGCTTTCAGTAAACCGAGATGATACTCCGTCGCTTTTTAAGAATGATAATATAACACAAGGCGATAAAAACCTTTATTTTTCTGCGTCCTTGCGATTTCATTCTCAATATCGGCGATTTTATCAAGTATCCCCATTGACCCTGTAGCGAATCACGTCTAGCCAGGTACTACTGAGAACTAGGGAAGCATGCAGAGTTGCCTGAGGAATGATGGGAAAGAGAACAAAAGAGAAAGTAAGTCGACGACCCAGCTACAGCACACAATGCAGTTAAATTTATTAGGAAAATCAATAGACAACAATCACCAACAACAAAACCCCAGATTATGATAACAATGGGGTCAAAACCAGGATCTAATAGATCAACTCACCAAAAACCTTTAGAAATATATGAGCCGCTCTGATTAAACCTTAAATTGTTCAAAATCCAATGGCCAAGACTATCATAGTCTGACAGTTGTTAGCGAGCAAACAGTTTCTTAAGATCTGTTACCGGTTGAAAATGCGTGATTGTTGGATAAGAATGAAGATAATTCATGAACTGATCCTTCATCAAAACATTCTTTCCAAGACTGAATAATTCGGCGGACATCAAAAGAATTTTGAAAAAGTAGTCAGTGAAAACTTTGAGAAGGGAACAGCATCTTTAAAGAAATACATATTATAGGACTTAATAACAGTTTAGGGAACTTCTGTATTTATTATTGAAGGGCGAAAAAATAAACCAGTGATTATTTATAAAACAGGTGGTTGAGGAAGCATTTGGAAATATCTTCTTTAGTTGTCACAAAGTAAATTAAGTAACTATCCAGATAGGCAACCTATTTTTTGTGAATTCCAAATGTTCACGAACTTTACCTTTCATAAGTCTGAGGTGAGGGTATTTCAAGTACATTTGAAGACTAAAACAGATCAGTGTTCAGTAAGACTGAAGAGATATGTGAGCTATGTACAACATCATTACATACCCCTCTATATTCCTGCACTGTTATGGGAATTTTTTATGGCGACGGCTAGTTTTATGGGTGGTATTATTTAAATCAACATATTTCTACGTAATAAGTTGAAGAACTCATTTCGGCGCATATGTTTAGTCACAGAGCTTTTAGCCTGAAGTATTCCTGTCTTACAAGTTGATAGCAAGAGAAATCTAAGAATATTTGATTTTAGCTTACCTCCATACAAACACCTGCCACCCCTTGCAGACGAACATATATCGCACACCAGCATTCTCCATCAGACTCTGTCCATCTCAATCCTTTCCACTTTCTATCCATCCCTTTCATGTCTGCTTTCAATTCCGACGCAATATGTTCCGTGGTCTTCCTCGTTTCTGTTTCCTTTCAGGATTCCAAGTTAGCGCCTGCCTCCTGATGCGGTTTGATGATTTCTTCAATGTGTGTCCTATCCACTTCCAGCGTCTTTTCCTAATTTCCTATTCAGTTGGAAGCTGGTTTGTTCTCTCCCATAGTAGGCTGTTGCTGATGGTATCCGGCAATGGGCATTCAGTATCTTACGTATACAATCGTTTATGAATACTTGTATCTCTTTCATGATGGTTGTGGTAGTTCTGCAAGTTTCAGCTCCGTACAATATAACTAACTGTCTTGACGTTCGTATTGAAGATTCTGACTATGATATTGGTTGACAATTGTTTTGAGTTTCATACGTAGTTCAACTGTGAGCATGCAGTCCTTGCTTTGCCGATCTTCGCCTGCACGTCAGCATCAAACCCTCCTTATTCATCGATGGTGCTACCCAGATACATGATTATTTCCAACTCTCACAAAATTTCTCCATCAATTATGACTGGGTTGGTGAACTGCGCGTTGTGCTTGAGGACCTTGACTTTTTCCTTGTGTATTTTGAGGCCTACTGATGCATAGACTGCTGCTACACTGGCTGTGTTCATCTGCATTTGTTGGTATGTATGAGACAGCGCGGTCAGAACGAATGCGAAGTGCAAATCGCCAAGTTTATTGCGAGCCGTCAGTTGTAATACGTGAAGAAGGAAGAGAGTAAAAAGCCGTGTCAGATTACAGTTCTCACCTGAAATGTGTCTGTCTGTTGTTTTGCATGCACCACTCTGAAAGGTGGTTCGTCCTATGAATTTCCAATTATGTTAACGATCTTCTGAAGCACACCGCATCGGAGAAGAAGATTGCATAATGTTATACTACCCACGCTTCCAAATGCTTTCTCATAGTCAAGGAATTTGATGTATGGTGATAGGTCTCATCCAGACGGCCGCTTAACAAAGATCCGTAGTGTCGCAAATTGATCTGTACACGACCGGTCCTTATGGAATCCGGTCTGTTTATTTCAAAGCAGAGAGTCTTCTGAAACTTTCATCCGGTTCAACAACACTGTTGGAAACATTTCTTGGCATATTTGGTAGTGTGGAGTCTCTATATTTCTTACACCTGCTCATATTTCTTTTCCTCCATATCTTGATAAGGTATCCCCCTTTCCAACTTGTCGGCACTTGATCATCCTCACGTATCCTCCTCAATAGAACTTGTAACATGTTTGCTGTTACTTCTATGTCCGACTTTCGTGCTTCAGCCGGCATATTGTCAGGTTCTGCTGCTTTCTCTTTCTTGACTTGCCTGATAGTCCTGGTGATTTTTGTGATCGTTGGTTGGGTGACACCAATAAGGTCTGTATAGGCTGCTTCGATATCCAGTGGAATCAGTGGATCTGGTCCACTGAAGAGTTCCTCAAATTGTCCTACCCATAAGTTCTTCCGTTCTTGAATCTCGGTGATTGGCTTACCTTATTTGTCCTTGACTGGTCACTCTGGTTTGCAATATTTCCTTGCTAGATCTTTTGTTGTGTCATGCGGTTGCCTCATATCTCATTCTCTTTCAGCGTTTTCCGCTGTTATTGCTAGGTCTTCCATGTGTTTCTGCTTGCCAGCCCTAATGCTTCTCTTCACTTGCTTGTTTGCTTCTGTGTGTTCAGCTTGTGCCTTGACTTTCTCTGTTCTTGTTCGGCTGATGTTTATTGTTGTCTTGTCATTCTTTTCTTGAATGCTACTCAGGGTTCGATGGAGATCCATTCCTTATGATGATGCTTCCTGTGGCCCTGAACCTCCTAGCACGTCGAGATTATTGTTTCTTTAATCCCTCTCCAGTTGTCCTCCACAGTAGTTTCTTTTTCTTTGTGTAGATCTTGTAAAGCTTGGAACCTGTTGCTGAGAGCTATCATGAATTCGTTGAGTTTGTTAGTATCTCAAAGGAAGGTTTTACTAAACCTTTGTAGTGCTGTTTCTCCAGTTGTCCAGTTCTTCTTTAGCTTCAGTTTAATTTTGGCAACCAGCAGATACTTATATGAACCTAAGCCAGCTTATATTTATGTTCTCATGACTTTCACGGGTCTTCTGAATTTTTTCGTGATGCAATATGATCGACCTCGTACTATTTAGTGTGATCTGCAGAGACACATGTAGCTTTGTGTATGCGTTTGTGGGGGAATGTAGTGCATCCTATAGCTATTTTGTTGAATGCACGTAAATTTGCAAATCTCTCGCTATTCTTGTTCCTTTCCTTCAGTCCATGTTGTCCCATGATATCTTCATACTCGATGTTGTCCATTCCGGTCTTGGCGTTTAGTTCTCTTATAAGGATGGTCAGGTCCTTTTCTGGGCACTTATCTACGACCGATTGCAGCCTCTCATTGTACTGATCTTTATTGTCTCCACTATTATCACTGGTGTGGGCGTGGGACTGAATATCGTTCACTGTAATCCCTTCGTTTTCAAGGATGTTTTAATGATCCCGGATCCATGAGATTCTCATTTTGTAGGCGCTTCTTTGCTTCTCTGGACAGTTTCACCAGATCTCCTTGTTTGTATGAAGAGGGGACATTTTCCTCCTCATGATGAGAGTACAAAAACACCGGCCTTATGATTTCCGAAGAACCTCAGCTTTCACCATGAGATTCCACAACTCTTACTAAATGGTTTTCCATTCCCAGTACAGTTTAAATGATCTTTTCTGGTCGTCATTGTTTAGCTAGGTTCTCTTCTACTCTATGTGGTTTCTAACCTTATGTTCAACTATCCTTTTTTACCCGGGATCGAGACCAGTTGTCATCATCAGAAGACTCCAGGCGGAGTTTGAAATTTGTTCAAATATTAGGACAAAATGAAAAAGACTAAACGAATATTCTTTGGAGTCATGTCTGACAGATTGAGCTGTCCTGTTCAATAACATTTAGGTTCATAATGCTTACATACTGAAAATCTGCGATCGTTTAAACGACCGTGAATTTAATATTTGTATCTCATTATCCGAATGGTTATCGTCTAAGGGAGTAGTCGCTGAACTGGATTTGTATTGAGAACACTAATACTGACCGGTGTTCAACTACATCCCTCTGATAAGCTTCAATTCATAGAAAGGTCCATCATAGAAGCCTTCGTTAGTCAACAAATAACTAACATTAAGTGACATGTCGTTTGCATTTTATAGATTACTTTCTTAGTGAGATGTATCTTTGTCAAATGATTTCTCACCATCATATTTGATTATGGCTTAAGAATTACTGCTGATCGGTGACTCAAAGTAAAACCCTGGTTATCACTTGGATCCTTTGCACTAGGTGTACGTTGAACATTGATCGGACTGACATGAATATTAAGCCGGACGCAGACGTGCGTTGGGCCAAGTCTTTACATCTAGGTATCACAGTCAGATAAAAAATGGCAGAAGAAAGCGACATAATGTCTTGGAAACAATAGTATGAAAAATCAGACCGTAAGGATATCATTTCTAAAGAAGTGGGGAGGTATGTATAAAAGGATATTGGAATTTAAAGTTAAACGAAAGTAAATGAGTCAATATATCTGGGCTTCTGCATGCGGTCAGTAATTGTAGCCATCTTATCCTTTATTTGATCACTTGATTGTAGATATTTTGGGACATTTCCTATGATTGAAATATTTTTTGTAATTTTTTCCATTATTACTGACTTGACTACTTTTGAAACACAAAATTATCTTATATGAAGGGAAATGACGAAGGTATAGGTCACAATAATAACTGAATGATAATTATGGAAATTTGTTAAAGGACAATAATGAATGATTACGGTTTAATAACGTTCAAAATAATAGTAAAAATTCAACAATAACACCGAAATATGTTGGAGAAAGAAAGTGAGGCTGTGGAAGAATTTGAGATCGAACTCATGTTGCGG